ACGGAGGGCCCTGAAACTGTCAACCGGGCGATCGCGTGTGCGAGCAACAACTGAGCAGCAACCAGCCCGAGTTGACAAGGTTTCGGCTTGGTCCGAAAGCGGACTGCGTGTTTGTATTTCTTACTCTTTACTCTGCATGCAGTTAACAGATACTACAGAGACCATATATAACATGGCAAATGAGTTTAGACAGCGCAGGCGCAAAGGCCTTGGCGCTCAATTAACAGTTAAATTGATAACAGCGATGCTATCGTCGCGTATCAATTGCCAAAATTGGAACAATCGATTGATCAAAGTCTAGTCAGCTTGACCATTCAATTTCTTTTTTCTTATTTGAATTGGAATCAAAACAAACGCACTTGCTGGAGGTAGAGGAGACGAAGAGAGCTCGGGTTCAAGTTGGTACATTCAACTTAGATAAGAGAAGACGCATGGCATGTGTGGGCAACTACAGCTAAGGTCAAGACAATAGCCCTGGGGGCGGCTATTAATGAGTGTTTGAATTAAAAACATTAAAAGCCTTCAAACTCACTACACCAACTATAACTTCAAAGGTTGCAAAAGAACTTAAGGTCTTAATTACTAGATGCCATTTAGGTACATAATCTTTAAATTATCCCTATGGGATAATTAGCAAGTGATATTGCTGTGCCCTCCACTGTGTTTTTAAGTAAATAAGTTGCAATAGTCGGTGGATGAGGCATAGGTGTATACCGCATGCAGATACGGATAGGTGATGGGATCTTACCACCACCAGCTGCTGCTCATCAGGTCGCCGCTACCCAATCCCGGCGCAGAGGTGGACGCAGCAGCCGCTCCTTCCACAGCTACAGGGGCGGCATGCAACAGATTCCCCTCTTCCGCGACGGCGTCCTTTTCGCTGCAGGGAAATGTTTGGCCATCCGAATTGTCCCTGAGGACCGACGAGGGCATCTTTCTCGGACAAGGCTCGATACTCCGAAAGATTAGGGCCACATTTGTGCCCAAACGGCTGGCTGTCAATTTGTTTTAACACCGAAAATTCAACACTTATTGTTTAAAAAAAAAAATGTTGCAAAAAGCTGCTCAACTGGGTGACCGCAGCGCGCCTATTAAAAAATACCAGCAACTGGGCGATATATCAAATGCAATTCACAAATTTCTTTTTTACAAGTCCCTAATTGAAGTAATATGTGTAATTATCTTCAAATTATTGCCACATCTTAATTGATAACTCAATTTCAACAAACAAAAGTTTATTTTAGCTTGATTCCATAGAAGTGGAATACCGATACCACTACTATCGATAACTGGTTGCTTTTGAGGCGCCAACTTTTAAACAGAAGCTAATATTTTACAACCCTAGTCATTCACAAAAGCATTCGTCATTCATGATTATTTTTAACTAAAGAAAGCTTACGCATGCAAATTAGCACGGCACGTGAAAACACTGTTTATTTTTAGCTTCATTTATATACGTTAACGCTTAAAATTGCAAACAGATGTGTTGTGTTTATATTTAAGCCCCAAACATGAAAACAAAAGTAGTAATAACTGGTAAATTTGTAATTTGAAGTAATAATTAGGAGTTAAAAGGGTTGTATTAAAAATTTTATGTTATTTAATTTATACCTCTTCTTGATATAATATCAAATTGCTATTTTCAAGGGAATGGAGTAGAAACTCTACTTCTCAGGAAAGGAGTCCCATTTAATTTTGCTCCTGCTTACACTTATGGTGTGCGCTTCGGGCTCTACCCTTGCCCTCTGCAACGCCGGGATGATTCTCCCAGCTCGGACAAAACTTAAGAATAAATAGGAAGAATTAACTGATGAACTCACCGAAACTGTTTCCGTCTCTCGCTCAAGTCCAGGACCCGCCTCAAGGGTCGCGGTGAGTTGCCCGGCGTTGTGGCGGCAGCGGCTCCTCCATCGTTCTCCTCCTCCAGGGAGCTGGACACGGAATTGGCCACCAATTGGCGGGCCAGTTGCAGATCCTCCTCGCGCATTTTGTTAAGTGCTGGAGTACTGGAGTGCTGATAAAGCGATAAAGCTGAGTTTTGACGACGAGCAGCAACCTCGCTGTTCCGGTGTCGAGATCCAACTAAGTGACTGCTCATACCTGGTTTTCCAAAATATATACAATGCATGCGCATATGTAATACTCGCTCGCCCGAGAGGAGAAGTTGTTGAATAGATATAAACACCGCCCCACTCGTACTCGTACTTTGAATTCATTAGGCGCCTCCCGATATTTACATTTCCACAGCAGCCACTTTTTTCTGAGCTAGTGAGCGAGCGATCTATATTTTGACGGCCCCCGGGGCGTGGCTGATCGATTTATTAGCTATGCGTGGATTAATTGCCGACGGCAAGGTGTGGGAAGTAGAGCCTGGACCGCTGTTCTTAATAATATATGTCCGAAGGTAACGCTATGAAAATAGGCCTTTTGCATCCATAAATGCCGATCAGATCGTTTGATTTTCAAGTGGGCTTGGCCGATGTGGATCCATTTAAATATATTTTCCACATCAACTTTTCGTTTGTCATTGAAACTGTGAAAATGCAATTTTAAAATATATATTTTTAGCTGATAAGAATGCTCCTAGTTTGTGTTGTCCTTGTGCGAATCCTTTGCAAACTTTTGGTAACTGATGAGACGTAGGTAAAATTCTACTTATTCCACTGTTGCCATTAAGTCATCTCAAATAAGTACCTCAACTTATTAACTGCTCGCTCCACAGAAACTTCTGGGAGTAGGAGGACTTCCGGGTTGCCAATTTACACCTATTCTTGGTTCCCAGTCAAGTGATTGCAAATTTTAACCCCAGAAAGTGTAAAACAGAAAAACAAAAATGGGAAACCTCTAAATTATGTATACTTTTCCAAGTTTAAGGTTTAGAATTACATCAATTATCCTTTATTAGTTTTTTGCCAAATACCAAATAACAATTTCTAAATACATTGACTTGCATAAATCGTTAAATATATATATAAATATATATACGAGTTTATTTTTTTAAATATTTTTTAGTTGCACTATTTTTTACTCTAGCGCCCCACATAAGCTTCGAAGCTTTCCGAAGTAAAAATGGTTATGCGTTTATTAAACTTTGATTTGTCGAAAAAGCGGTCATATAAATATATCGATAAGTATTGATTCACAGAACGCGAATATTTTGAGTTTATTTATGATTGATTTTCAATTCGATCCTTTAATGTAATTGCAAGTTGCAACTGCGAATAAGCTTTGGATTTCCTCTTTTGTTAATTTTATTTTTTTTAATTCAAAATCTAGACTCTTTTGCTTTTTCAGTTCTGGCAGCACTAGTGAAAAATGATACAGGTTGGCAGGCCTGCCTCTTGTTCCAGCGTGGTTGCAAAAAAATTTGGTTGAATTTAATTTCTAATTTCGAGTCAATAAATTCCCGTATACCGCCCGAATATGCCCCCAAAGAAGGCACCGGCTGGTCCCAGCAAGAAGACCGAGCAGAAAAAGAAGGAGAAAGTCATTGAGGTAGGCTGGGCGAACCGGGAAAGCGGCGGTGTATCGGCATTCGGCTGCCTCCACATTATTCCTGTGATGTGGACAAACCGAAAACCGATCAGTGATAAATCAACATGTATAAGTACATATGTGTATGTATTTGCATCGGCAGGACAAGACCTTCGGACTGAAGAACAAGAAGGGCAACAAGCAGCAGAAGTTCATCCAGCAGGTGCAGAAGCAAGTGCAGGCTGGCGGCCACCATCCGCGGCAGGATGGCGACAAGCGCAAGGAGGAGAAGGAAAAGAAGCTGGCGGACCAGCGTGAGATGGCCATGATCTTCAAGCCGGTGCAGACGCAGAAGGTGGAGAAGGGCACCGACCCCAAGTCGGTGGTGTGTGCCTTCTTTAAGCAGGGAATTTGCACCAAGGGCGACAAGTGTAAGTTCTCCCATGACCTGTCGCAGGAGAACAAGGTTGAGAAGCGCTCCATTTACGTCGACATGCGCGACAACGAGGAGGACTCGATGGCCAACTGGGACGATGCCAAGCTGAAGGAGGTGGTCGACAAGAAGAGCTCTGGCGAGAAGCAGCGCCCCACCACGGATATTGTGGGTTTTATTGAACTGAAGTCGCTTCCCATAAAATTCTTTACTAACTAACACATTCTATTCCAGATCTGCAAGTTCTTCTTGGAGGCCGTGGAAAAGTCCAAGTACGGATGGTTCTGGGAGTGTCCCAATGGCGAGAAGTGCATCTACCGACACGCCCTGCCGCCGGGCTATGTTTTGAAGCGTGACAAGAAGAAGGAGGAGAAGCCCACGGAAATATCGCTGGTCGACCTAATCGAGAAGGAGCGCGCCGCCCTGGGGCCCAACCAGACGCGAGTAACCCTCGAGTCCTTCCTCGCCTGGAAGAAACGCAAGCTGGCGGAGAAGAAGGCCAAGCTGGTAGCCGAAGAGGAGCGGAAGAAGAATGACTTTAGCAAGGGCAAACAGTTTGGCATCTCGGGTCGCGAAATGTTCAGCTTCAATCCCGACCTGGTCGACGACGGACCAATGGAGGACGGCGATGCTGCATTCGACATTTACAAGCGGGAGGACGACGACGACGACAATGCCGTGGAATTCAAAGAACTCGACTTGGCCGCCCTGTCACTGGCTGCCAAGGAGGTGGATGGCTCCGGCACAATTGCATCCACTACCCGGCTATTGGACCAAGCCACAGAAGCCGCAAAAACTGCCGCAGCCGAGGAGGCAGCGGCTGACGACGGTCCCTCATCGTCTGAACCCGCCAACGATGCTGCACCTATCAACAAGGATCTCTTTGTTGATCTGGCCGGCGAACTGGATGACTTGGATTTGGAAGATGAAGATGATGATTAGTCCCTTGCGAAGTTTGTTTAAAATGAGTTCATGAAATGATTTCTGCCTTTAGCTAACCCATCAATCAATAAAGTTGTGGCTTTTAAGTGTTGCATTTTTGGAAATAGCGTTTTACGAACTGAAATCGGAGTCAACGATAGTTTATTATTTAATGTTTTGTTTTTATTTTGTATTTTACTTAATTCGTTTATTAAATTACCAAAAACCTGGCGGCAAAACTCCCACTGCCTGGGGTATCTGGCGCTCTCTCAGGAACTTGGCCAGAAGCATCTCTAGCCGTGTCTTTGGCCCGCCCTCGTCATATACAGCCAACTGGGGCAGGTAATGGTTCTGGATAAAGAGGAGCAGCTTTACAAATTGTTTTCCATAGGTGCGCCAGAGCTCGAAGCCGAGCGTTTGAAGAATTTCCATGATCAGCGTGGCACTGACGTCGGGCAGCGGCTTAACATGAACTACATGGGCCAACCAGCGCCAACCCTCCTCCAGTCCGAAGCAGTGCTCGGGGCCATCGGCCTTGCGTCCTGGTGTTATAATCACAGCGGCATAGAGGCGAGCAATTCCCGTTTGACGCTTTAAATAGCTGTCGGGTTTCTCCAGTTCATTGTTGTCCGACAGACGGTAACCAATTGTCTTGAGGTACGCCTCCGGAGCCTGTCCCGGCTGCTGGGGAATCACATAGGGCACCAGGAAGGGCGACTCCTTGTACAGGTAGGCCAGAAATACTTTTCCGAAATCGGGCATGAGCTTCCAAAAGGTGGCAATCACCGAAGCGAAGGGAAACGCAGCCTGCGGGTTGCTAGAGATCGCAGTGTCCGTTTGGCTAACGAATTTTTTGGCCATCAGCAGCATGCAGTAGTCACGGGCCAACGGATGATCGTTGATTGTTATTGAGGTTCCATTAAGCACCTTGACGGGCTGTCCAGCGAAGAAGTTGTATAATTTTTCAAAGCTGTTGGACAAATGCTGCGGGCTGACTGCCGAAATGGCGTTCAGGGGCAGATTGATGGCTCTTTGGCAGCCGGTGCGGTACTGCTTCAGGGACTCCTCCGTCTGCAGAGGCTTAACAGAGTCCACCTTGCCTTGGTACAGGGCAATAACATCGTTGTAGAACTGCAAGCGCTCTGGGTGAACATTAGTCGTTGTACTTTCAGACGGAGCAACAGCAAGAGTGGGTGTAGGAGCAGGAGCAGGAGCCGCCGCTGGGGCAGGGGGTGCGGTAGCTTTCTCCTTGGCTGCCTCAGCCTGCTTTTGGCGTGCCTCCATCTCTTCCTTTTCCTGCTGCTGGCGCCGCTTCTCCTCCTCCAGCTGCCTTTGTCGCTCCTCCTCCAGCTTCTTCGCTGCCTCCAGCTTCAGCTGCTGCTGAATTAGTTGCGAGAACTCAGCCAGTTGCCGTATGATGTCTTGCTCAACTTGTTGTAGGCTCTTGCAGCACTGCTCCGCTTTTATGAGCGAGCGGAGAAACTCACTCTGCTCCATCTTACCCGCTGCCACGGTGCTGACCAGCTGATCAAACTGCTGTCCCAGCTCCTTGAGCTGTTTGTTGTGCTCGGCGCACACCTGCACAGTCTCCCTGTCCAGAGAGAGCAGCAGCTTTGCGATGCCCTCATATTTTTTCCTAAAACGTTGCTGGCACCGAGACACGCCTTCCACCGCTAACTTGTGCAGCTTGCTGTTCGTATTATGGCGCATTTCCAACTGCTCTCGCTGCTGTTCCTCCAGTTGCGCCCTAGTCAGCTTCTCTGCCTCCTCGATAAGCTGATTTTTCTTTTGCTCTCGCAAAGCCTTCTGGTTTAGCTGTTCGCTGTGACGCTCCACCTCCTGCTGCAGGGATTCGCGCTTTAGCCGAAAGGTTTCCTGACGCTCTTTGAGCGCATTCAGTTGCAGGCGAACGCTCTTCTTTGCTTCGTCCGCCAACTCCCTCTTGACTATGCTGGCATTAATGGCGTCTGCGTCGGGAAAGCAGGGTAAACTGGGTTCGGTGACGACTCTCACGGGAATGTGCGGTATACTGCTATCCAGCTTAACAATAGGTTCCTCAGCTTCCCGTGGAATCGGTTTTCTACCCGCCTCCCACAACGGATCCCGATCCTCGCCAAGAGTGCGTCCTGTACAGGTACTGGAGGCGAGAGCCGCGTGCTGCAGCACTGTTTCCATATTCAGACGGTCGTCCACACTCTGAAATATTAATTAAATGTAAGAGCTGTATAAATATGAAGGTTTGACATACCATTTCCTCTTTATAATAATTAATATAAAATAAAATATGTTCAAGCGCGAATAGAGATGTGACTATCGTATCCACGATGGCTTGGCACTATCGCGATAGTGTGGGGAAAAACTCGTTATTTTGTTCAATAAAAAAAAAGGTTGGAACTAAAAATAAGAAAATGGAATGTCTTAATATATTTCAAAATTTTAAGATATATAAACCAATATTTATTTATATAAAGCTATTTTCCCAACAATTCAAATAATTAACCATAAATATTTGAATTAAATATATAAATATTATGAATCGCAAAAGTATTAAACATTACGAGGAATTAATTTCGAGCACAAAGGTGATTTAAGCACTACTTGATTGTGTACCCAAAGGTTTATTTAAGCAATATACACATTGTGTTTTAATAATATACCGAAGTATAGTTCCTAGTGATGCACAAAACAAAATTAACAAATACAAGTACAAGTAGTGGACAAGTAGTGGACACTAAAAAATTAGAAAAACTTGACGCCGTGGCTGCCATCTATCTCGATTAGCTCACACCGGCCCTTCTCCTCCAGCAATCGCAACGCACTCAGCAACACCGCTTCATCCACACCATGGAAATCCAGCTGACTGGTATTCTCCCCAGAGGCAATCTCGTATAGCGTGCAGATGGTGTTTGTCTGACCCGTCTCCTGCACCCAGTCGTACACCATGTTCCCGTACTCCTCTAGGGTGTGCCAGTACACCTGCCACTCCTGGTGACGCTTGTCCAGCGGATTGGCATGACCACTGCGCTCCAGCTCCTTCAGGATTGCCAGTACGAGCTCCGGCGACAGGCGGCGGTTGAGGGATTCGTTGTGGAAGAGCGGCAAGCTGTGGTCATTGATGCTCAGCGAATACCTATTCGTGTGCTTGAGGTATTTGAGAAAGAGATCTGTCCAGACCTTCAGCTGGCGCTGCCTGGTTTCTTCGTGCGGCTGTAAACTAAAGCCGGTATTAGCCAGACTCCCAGTCCGATTACTTTAGTAGTTACTCACGTGAAGAAGGGTGGGAAGGTGTATTCCCAGGGCCACTGGAAATCAGTCATTTTGATCAACTTTTCGAAGCAAACATTTGTTTTGGGCGATAAAAATTTTAGTTACTAATGTTTTAGAGTAGCCATATCGATTTCGGTTTAAAATACCAAACACATACCGATATTTTGAATGTCCGTCAAAATAGCGTCGATGAGTTAGCTTCGAAATAGAACGGTGGGAAAATGGAACATGGAGGGATCTGAAATTTTAAATTTATTTCGTAAGTAAGACACTAAATCGAATGAAATAAAGTTTTTAAATGCTTAAAAATGAGTTTACTTTTGTTTTTTACTGGGTTTGAAAGTATGTGAAAATTAGATACATTAAAGAATGTGAAAAATCGTGTTTTCACGGTGAAATATAAATATATCCGGCAGCCCTGCATGACTAAAAACAAGAAAACTTGATTTAAAGATTATGGTTAAACCTATGCAAAAAGAAGATTTTCCAATAGACGGCATTGCAGTTCTGAACATTTTGATCTATGTTTCATCAAAATCCCTTCAGTCGTTAATGAGAAATCCCGACTTTTCATTTATTGCAGTTGGGTACCAGGGGTGCATAGTCATGCCTCCGTGGTATATAAATTATTAATTAAAAATGTTATTTTCTCCTAAACTACTTAATGGATTTTAACGAAACTCCTACCAAATTGCTTAGAATAAAGATGTCGTTTATTGGGCAGACTTTTAAATGTCATTTCGAAAATTAAGTTCTCAAATCTAGTGCTTCAATGCCCGTGCTTTGTAATATGATTTCAGGTCAAAAATTTCCAACGCGGTGAATAAATTATTTCCGACTACATAAAGTATATATATTCTTGATCAGCATCAACAGTCGAGTTGATCTAGCCATGTCCATCTGTCTGTCTGTCCAATTATATGCAAACTAGACCCTCATATTTAAAGCTATCTAAATAAAACTTTGCAGTTAGTCTTCTACATACTCTCACTAGTATATAACGGATTAAAATATTCAGAGCTGCGATGCCGTTTATTGCTTTTGCATACATACATCCTACCATTAAGTTTAAATCACATTTTATATTTAATATTGTTCGTCGAACCTACACACATGCATACATTTATGGCAATAAATGAAAAAGTCGGGATTTCTCATTAACGACTGAACGGATTTTGATGAAACATACATATATCAAAATGTTCAGAATTGCGATCCCATTAATTGTACGATCTTCATTTTGTATAAGTTTTATAATAAAGTTTAAACCAAATTGACTTAATTTTAGGCAGGCAGTGCTGCCAGATATATTTATTCTTCGTAGGAACATTTATGGAAATAAATGAAAAAGTGATGTTTTCTCTTGAACGGCTGAACGGATTTTGATGAAACATCTACCAAAATTCTTGGAATGTCAAATCCATTCATGGGGCAAGCATAATTTATACAATTGTTTAAATGGTCAATAGGAATATTATCTGACGGGCTATTCATCGATAGGGTGTGGGAGGTGACCCTATCGATATGAGGCCAGTGTTTATTAATAAGGTCGGAAAAGCGAGACACTTGAATTTCAGAATTCAGAATTAATTCGAAATTAGAGAATATTTTTCCCTATCGTGCGAGATACCGTGGAAGTTTTACGCGTTCATTTAAGGGCGTTAGATTTTTGTAAAAGTTTGCGTCGATTTTGCTTGTCGGTATATACTAAAACAGTCGAAAAAATAACGAAATAGGTAATTTTCCTGATTAAAATGAAAATCCCACCAAATTGTGTTAAATGGCGTTTCCATTTATTGGGCAGTCACTTTTCTTAATGTTTTATTCAACAATTTGCTATTGTTATTTAATTTAGTATTTTTCTCATCATGGTTCCATGGTCTGGTTCAGCGAGTGGTTCTCTGCAGGTTCCCATCTGGTTCCATTTTCATAGTTCGCGCCATAGCTATCAGCCCAAATAAACCACCCACTGTTATTAAATTTTCTCGAAGTCTGACGGTTACAAACTATTGAAATTTTCACCAAATATTCGTTAATCTTCCCCTAGTACGCATTCGTAAATCGAAGCTTTTTAAACTGTGATGGAGTCATTTCCGACCCCATAAATCATATATATTCTTGATCAGCATCAACAGGCGAATCTTTCTTGGCATGCAGGAAAGATAAACAATTTTATCCAAATTTTTCAAATGTTTATAAGGGGTTAAAATTATCAAAAAATTTTGTTTTCTCACATTTCAAGTGAAGTATGCAGATTTATAAGCCTAATAAAAATATGCATTGGACAGCTTTCCGAATTAAAATTAACGCTTTTTTGATTTAGCTATGATTTTTTAAAATTTTGATTTGTCGAAATATCTGTCGTATAAAAAGCTGGAAATAATAATTCAAAGAATGCTAATAATTATAATCGATTACCGGATTCGATCCAACAATTCATTTGCAAAATACAAAGGTATATCAACAAGGGCTTTCCGACGTTATTCTCATGTTTTCTTTAATATTCCTTAAGAAATACTAATTACTAATTTAAAAAACAAAAATAAAAAGCGATCACGAAAATGCTGATACCATAATAAAATATAAATTAGTTTAACCTTCAACTAATAGGCCTCCTATCCATGTCGATCCCATTAAAACACAATGATTCCATTTACATTAAAATGCAATCCATTTCTTGTAATTTTTCTTAAATAGAAAAAAATGTGTACATTAACATTTTCATCGGGCTTTTCGATAAAGTTTGAGAGTTGTTGGGTGACTTGACTTGGGTTTACTTGGGGTTCCAATCCGATCCAATTTGGTAAGTGAGGAGCAGAAGGGGTTTGCAGTGGCTGGCTTGCATCATCAATATACATTCACATATATGCTAGTATCTGATATATATCTGGTTTAATATAAGTAAAGTACTAGGAGGCGCAACACTATACATTCAATATCTGCTATTCCGTATTCCTTGTCCACACACCAATGCGTAGGAGGAGCTTCGAATTCATTTTTACACTAATTTGTGTGTCTAGTTTAATGCTGCTGGTGCTTAATTTCTAACTATATCCTTTGGGTGCATATCGAATCGTGCTTCTGCTGGTTTGCCAGTCAAGTTGTACTTGCTGGGGGTTGGGGGTCTCCTGTGTCGAATCAAAGACCTTAGAATAACAGGATGCAGCCGGCGACCAATATTGTATTCGAGTTCAAAAAAATCGTTTGGCGTTACACATCTTGTTATCATAAATATAGTCTTTGGTTGGACTTGATGTACGACATATAGTGTCATCTTCTGGTTTTGCACTTTATTTTTTATTTGGTTTTTGTACACATGCGTGAAATTCTAGAGAGAATGCCATACGGGGGTTAGGATAAGGTGTGAGTTGATAGTACAGTTGAGTGTTTTTAGCTGGCTAGTGTTGTTCTTTAAGAGTTTACAGTTAGTTCCTAGTTAACAAGTGAGGTTTGGTTGAAATCTTTCATTGCTATATAGGTATTTTTTCCGTAGGTATGCAGCTCTATCGTTTGGTGCCTGCCATGCATTTTCCAAGACATTTACATAGCTTTTAATGTATTAATTCTTTAGTTATATTCGTATAAATAATAAAGCATTCCAATCAGTATAATCAGTATCTTCAAAAATATAATATAAATGCCCCTATATGTGTGCTTAAAGCATCAATATATTGATGAAAATGTACACTTCAAATGCGTCGCTCTGGTTCGCTTACAAAACATAAAAGAAATGCGACAAACAAAATGGCATTAACCACATATTCATTTGTGGTTGAAAGAATAGTCTTTACACTTGCCTCTTAGTCAGTTTCAGTTGGAAGGAATATTTGGTTCAGAGAGGTGTGTTGTGTGTAAATCGGCAGTTGGACAGCAAAAACTCAATTACAAAAAATATAGGTTCCACGGGGGATTTTTCTTAACTTCTCTTTTGGTTTATGAAACACGAAACAAATCTTAAGCTTTATCTTACGAGCGTAATCAGCAAAAATCAAAAAACAATTGATTCCTTACAAAATACATAAAACATAATTCGCCTGCATTCCATATACATATATATATATCCATCATGTACATACAGTTCTTGCATATATCTTATACATATACACTCAAATATATAGTATATATACTTGATTCTTGCTTGTTCTTTAAATTATTATTAAGTTTTTAAAAATGGCATGTGGTGACATGTATTACAATACACATTATACATATATATATGGTACATACATTTATATTTAATATCGATTTCCGAGTTGGTATAAAATAATGCATGCAAGTCGAGCGAAGTACCCGATCGCACATCCCTCATATTTTGGTTAAGCTTGCACTGCTCTTTCTCTGCTTCATATTAGTGTCGGGTTGCTTATGAGAGAGTGAAATGTTCACCCAAGAAGCATTCACCGCGTGGTCGGTCTTCCATCTTCCTTAGTATGTCCTAGGTTTGAGTTATTACATATACATTCATAGGGTTTTGGGATTCTCGAATCACTGCACGTATAGCATGACAGCATGTTGTTTCACACAATGCTCCATATTTCGACTAACGACTAATACTAGGTATATATAGCTAGAGACCCTAAGCTACAATTTTTGCCTAAGACTGTTCCGGGGGTGTATTACGTTACTTGGGCGCCTCACTTTGCCAGTGGCTCCAGATAACATCGAACCGTGTTGTTCTCGTCCAGCATGGCCGACAAGTGGCGCTGCTGATGGTGCGGGGGATGCTGATGCGAATGCGGATGGGATAATGGATGCGGATGGGGGGTGCTGTGTGATGTATGCGACGACGATGATGTGGTGGACTGCGGTGACAGTTTCTGTAGCTGTTGACGCTTCTGCGCGGGCGTCTGATTGGCCGGAGGCAGCGGCGGTCCGGCATTGCCCTGACCGAATAGCTCATTCACCGCCAGACGGGCGCCTGGCGACTTGGCATTCTGTTGTTGCTGCTGCTGCTGCTGCCGGAACGCGCCACGCATGGAGCCCTCACCAACGCCGCCGCTAACCCCAAAAACCGCACCGTTGTGCTCGGGGTGTGACGCTGATCCTGGTGGCAAGGCGCCATAATCAATGGGCGCTCCACGTTTGCGCTGTTCACTTCTGTTGGGGGAAACGGGAGATAATATTACAAACCTATCGCTGGTGGCAAAACCCAATATCTACTTACTGAAACCGCCGCTTGAACTCCTCGTCCTGTATCGCCATCAAACGTTCCATTCGCTCAACGCTCTGGGGCGGCAATCCATGCGGATCGTCTTCTAAATCACTCTCCTCCTCCTCCTCATCATCATCACAGTATCTGCCGTGCAACTGCTCTGCAGCAGTAGCCTCCTCATCCTCCTCATCGTCATCATCATCATCATCGTCAGCCGTGCAGCGACGACCCGATCTCTGCTGGGCCAGCGACTGTTGTTGCTGCTGCTGTTGCAGATGCTTTTGCAATTGTTGCTGCTGTTGGCTTCTGGACGAGACACTGCCGCCGCTGAGGCTACCGCCGCCATAGCGACTTCCGCCAGCGGCTACAGCCGCTCGCATGTTGTTGAAGACACCGGTGCCAACGCTATTGTTGTACACCTCGTCCACATCGAAGTCCCCAACCTCGTAGTGCTGCACATCCGAGTTGCGGTTGCTGAGGATCTCCTCGTACACCGGCCCGGCATCCGCACCGCCGACACTGCCCTGGTTGTAGTAGGCATCGTTCATGCCCAGATCACAGTTGGAATGCTTATTTCTAAGCTGGCGCTGCATGAACTCCAGCTGATACTGCGCCATGTGCGGCGGCGGAGCGGGGAGCTGTTGCTGGCTGCCAGCACGTCGCTGTTGCAGCTGCTGTTGCTGCTGGTTTTGTAAATGCAACAGGTGGGCGTGCTGCTCGCTCTGCTCCTCATCCGAGGACAGTTGCTGCTGCTGTTGCTGGCGACGCATTTGTTGCTGCTGCTGCTGTTGATAGTAGGCAGCCGCATTGCCTGTGGTTTGTGGCGGGTCCAGAGCTTCCGCATAATGCGGATAACCGGCCAGCTGGCCGGGCTTGGTCTTTTTGTACGATGGATAGAACACCTGGGAGACGGCGGCGTTGCGGCTGTGCAGGGATCCGCTGGGAGAAGCGGGTACTCCGCCGGCACCGCGCTTCTTTTTACCATGCTGGCTGTTTGGCTTCTGTGTCCAGTAGAACACCTCGTGCGCTTGCTGCGGCGACGAGGCGGAAGCTCCAGCATTGTTGAAGTACTCACGCTGAGCCTTTAATGCTGCTGTGCCGGCGGGAGGCTGCTTCAGGCTGTAGTAGTCCGGCTGGTGGTAATAGGACTCACCCAGAGGCTGCTGTTGCTGCTTGTGGGCAAAGATGTGATGGGTGGACCCGGCCGAGCTGGTGGGCGAGGCATGTCCGGTAGATCGCAGTGTGCTGTTCCTTTCGAGCACCACTTGGTTTCCCAGAGGCTGAGCAGGTGTCTGCAATGTGCCAGTCATCAGTCCGCTCTTGAGCGTTCTCCTCTGCTGGGCTTCGTTCAGTTCGGTGTCGGAGCTAGCTCCTATAATAATGTCCTCGGTGGCGGCCACACCTGTCTGAGGCATTTGTTCATCATGTCCCTCCTCACCCATCGCCCCCATCGGCAGCTTTGGCTTTTTAGCGGTTGAGACACTGCAGAGAGTTCCAGCAGTTGGTCCACCACCTGCCACTATGCCCGACGAAATGGATGTCTTCGAGCAGCGTAGGCACTTCGGCAGCCAGGCATGCTGTCGCACATATTTACGATACTCCCGTCGGATCTTCTCGTTTTGGATGCAATGGAATACAAAGATGTACAGTCCCAGCAAGGTGTTGAAGCAAATGAAGCAGTAGCCATGCACATCGGCTGTGTCCTCGTCCATCTTGGCTCCACGCAAGTAGAAGTAGGCAGAGCACCAAACAGCACTAAGTAGCAGCAGAAACACAAAGGAGCAGCGGATGTCAAAGCTATGGGATAACAAACACTTAGGATGAGCAAAAGAAGCTTGGAGGAATGCGTAATGCAGACTTACCGAACGCTGGCCAGGCGAGTGTGCTCCTTGGTCTTCAGGCCTGTGCGACTCTTGCGGCACATAATGATCCAGGACAGGAATGTGTAGCCAATGGCAGCCTTAAATAATAAAAATAACAAACATGTTCCCATTCAGAGTTCAACTGGAGGATATATATTAAGCACTTACCACAAAGAAGATGAGCACCGGAGCCACAAAGGTGGCGTAAAACAAAGCATTTGCTTCCATCAATACACAATAGTCACTCTGGGTATAGGTGCTGGGATTGATGACCACCGAGACAGCGACCACAGTCAATGACAGTCCATAGGAAAATAGGTAATAGCAATTGACCTTGGGTGTCTGATCCACCTCAAGCAGAAGCTCATCAGAGGTGAGGATGGAGTACGAATGGAAGGCTGGACGGGAGGAACAAGTTAGCGCTGCAAATTGAAAACAGGATCGGGGACACCTTACCTTCGTAGCAGAACCAGGCAGTGCCGGATAGGATGGCACAGTGGAGAAAGCAGGTTATGAAACCGCAAAATGTGCTTGTTTCGGTCTGTTCAATGCCCAGAAGAAATAGCAGCTCGATGGCCAGCAGGCAGAGGTATATACTGGTATATATTGAGGTTCGGGCAGACTAGTTATAAAAGATATAGGTAAAGTGAGAGACAGAGAAAGAGTTTGGATAAGTGTCGCAGTAAAATATATGAAAACTTGTGGGAGCCAAGCAACCAGCAGTAGAACCCAAGAACAATAGCGATAAAAGCCCACCGAATTTTTTTTTTTAAATGACATAAAATCGGTCATGTGAAAAAATTTGAAATTGAAATTGGCAAGCGTTATCCTTCCAAACAAAAGTTTCCCTATCAATGGTGATCCAACAATAGAAACGAAAATCGTGAATTCCGCCATTGCAGCAGCTCCTTCCCAAAGATAGTTTTAAATTTTGTTAGCCAAACTTAATGTAGGATTTGATTTACAATAAGGTGGGTGGTGGTGAAAGAATCCGAAAAACTACCTAAATAAAATCAATAACGAATATTATACGCATTAACTAAGAACAATAAACAAGACACGAAACAAGCACAACAGTATGTATATACAAATGAAATGAACAAACACAAAATGCACGATATTTACAGGACAATGGTTAGCAACATTTGTGGAGTTTATTATAATTAATTAAATACAAAAGAAAATCAGAAGTGTTTTAATGTATTTTCTAAATTAAATTTGTTAAACAATGAATGCACATCGAAATGGGGTTAGGTTCTCTCAAAAAACATGCCAAAATAACGATGATTTCTAATAAAACGAAGAGGGATCAAGTGAGCTAAACTTAGACTATGACGAATAACTACGATACATAAATATATATAGATTTATAAATGAAAAGTCTTCGAGTGCAAGCTGTCGCTGGGAGGCGATGAACTATCTCATTTCGGTTACTCCTCAGCATGACCCGAGATATCCATCGCTTCCCGTCGCAGCTTTCGAGTCTTATGTTTGAGTCCTATTAAAAAGAGAGAGCAGTTCCATTAACAATTTGAGTTACTTAAGCATTATATCACATGAGTCTCTGATCATAAATACATAAGTCTATGTGGAGAGCCTAGCCTAGCCTAAAATTCGTGTTTGCTTTTCTGTTATTTCACCACCACCACCACTTATATTGTAAGTCATCCATATTCGCCTGCATGATGATGTTGTTTGTGTTGGAATCCAGATTGTGATTGCGATGCGGATGTTGCAGCTGCTGCTGCTGCTGCTGGGCAAGTTGCTGCTGCTGCTGTTGCAGGTAATTGTGACTGATGTTGAGGTTGTTGCTGGTTGCCTGCACGGCATGTTGCTGGAGGGCAGCAGCAATTGAAGCAGCAGCAGCTGCAGCCGCCGCCGTTTGCTGGCCATGCTGATGCAGATTCAGATTCAGATTGTTCATGTTCATGTTGCGTTGCGGTTGATTGGACAACACCACAGCAGCCGCAGCTGCTGCAACTACTTGTTGTTGCTGTTGCTGCTGCTGCTGGACATTGTAGTTCAGATTGTTGCGATGCGAGTTGCGAATGGAATTGTGCTGGATAAAGTTCGTATTACCATGACTCGGCGCCGACACATTGGTCTGGCTGCTGGGTGCAGTCAAGGTTAGGGACTCGTGGGTCTGATCGCGTATATTGTTCTGCTGACGCCTGCTTCCCGCCCGTTGGTGGGGCAGCGGACCAGTGGCGTTTCTTACCTTCACAAAGACCCCATTAAACAGCTTCAGTGTGAGCAGGGCAATCACTATGAACACCACACAGATGGCTATGCTAATGTAGATGAAGATGCGCATGTTGCCGTCGAACATGGTGAACAGCGAGTGCTGATGTTCATCCACCACGTCCATGAGAATGGCAAAGTTGGTGAGATGGTTGCAACTGCACACGCTGTGCGTTCGGTTCGTGGACTCCAGGCTGCAGCCGTTGGCAGACCAAGCACTGTAACGATTTCAAATTGAAATTATTGCAAAATTAAGATGAGTAGAAGCCTTACTGGTCAATATAGTTCCAAAACACGCATGTGGGATTCGTCACATTTTCCGTTTTTAGATGCTGCAACGTCAGGGTTATGGGTTGCGAAAGCTGTATATGTCGCCCCTTGCCCAAGCTGGCCGAGATCACCTTACTATTGAGTATCCGCAATCGCTGTTGCATCTCTCCCGCATTGGTATCACTGTCATTGGCCAGGATTGCGGTGTTGCGAACTAAGAGAGAGGATTTATATATTTGCATTCTGGTTAAGCATTTTGTGAGCTACTCACCATAACTGCGTGAGCTCTTTAGATCAAAGTGATCATAGCTAGGTTTAAGGATGGACTCCAGGCGATCAAAGGCGGCAAATACAATGCGCACCAAGCCGCCTTCACTGTTGTCGATTAGAGCTGCGCGTGGAAGCTCAATCCGGTCGGAACTTAGGGGCCATTGATCCGAGTCCGGAAAGACAACGCTCGACTGGATGGTCTTTGTTTCCAAAACGCGGACGGTCAACACTGGAGAAGATTTGGATAAGTCCTTCGAAAAAACACACAGAAATCAAATAAACTTACATATATTCTTGACTTTCTGAACCACACTCCGCTCCCTGATTATCGTATCGGCCAGCAGAAAGGCGTTGTACTCCAGTCCTGTGAGCAGGGATGTGGCCACACGCATCTGGTCCTCCGGATTGAGATCCAACCAGGAGGATAGCTGCGATTCATCCAGAAGATTGGATCCCGTTTTGACCACATTAAGCAAGAGCTCTGAAATCATGGCCTCCCGTTGCCGCTGATCGGGGAACGTTTCCTTGTCGTGCATCATTTTCTCCGAAACTGTTTGAATGATCTTCGTGGTGACCAACATGTCGCCGCCATAGAGCGTCTTGCTGCTCGTCACCTCGGACATGTCGTTGGCAATGGAGATCAGCGAGGAGTCGCGTTGGTTCACTCGCATCTCCAGATTGTTCAACCAGATGCTGCGGCATTGCGTCAGATCGGGGGTCATGGGATGCCAGGTGGGCTCAAAGTTGCGCAGACGTTGGTTCACCTTGTGGGCCATGCTCACTGGCGGCTCGCAGCTGCTGCTGTTGTGCAGACAGTCGCCGCCACTGGGCGCGGGTGTTGTGGTACTTGGTTCATCGTCGTACTCATCGAACCCAGCGTCCGGCACCCTCTTCATTAGCACACACCGCCACTTGGCTATGCCGGCTGCACCGCCTGGACAAGGCTGAACGTTCACATCGCCCACGCGGGTCATGTTCCAGAAGAGATTGCGGGCATTGGTTGGTCCACAAAACAACTTGCTCTCATCATCCGCTCCGGACATTCCAGCTGCATTCAAATTAATGTTGTTAATGGTACGCACAACACTACCATTCCCAGAGACCGGAGATCCATTTGTCGCTGTTCCCGGTGGCCGGTTGGGGGAGCTTTTGGTGGTCAGCAGTGTTCCATCGTCGGTACCCGAGCCCCCGACGCCGGTAAGGATGCGGGTATTTGATGGGGCTGTGGCATTGCCGACAGCCGGAAGTTTGCTACTGGCCTTGGTGGGTGCGGCGGACTCTTCGCCACCATGGTGATTGTGATGATGATGCAGTTGTGGAGGCGGCGGTAGACCATCGTGGCGACCAGCCGGATGCTTGGTAGTCGTTGTGGAGCTAGCCACACCCTTATTTCTTCCACCGCCCACGGCAGCCGTGCTGCTCGAAGGCGTTGAGTGAGTGACGGCGGTATGTGGTGGTGGCACATTGAACAGCCCGGTACTTCCACTTATACCCACCACGCCGGGCAGCGTGGGTAGTCGTGGAGGTGGTTGCGAAGCTCCCGAGCCAATGCCAGGCGGGTGGATCAACCCACTGCCATTGCCAAAGATGGGTGGGCCATTGTTGAGAACCCACGGCGGTGGGCTGGGTCTCTTGGTTGTCGTCGAGGTCTGGGCGGCACTGATGCACTGATAGTGCGCCTCCAGATATTTGTGGGTTCCGGGGCAGGGATCCCCGAACATACTCGTGGCTGCCAGCACACTGCAGCTCTGCTTGTGGGCGCATCTAGAGGGAAGATGGAACAGTTAGAAGGCTTATGCTTAGTCTAAATTCACAAATTTTTTAATTAAAGCTTCTACAAAATAATAATAAAATATCTTGGCTAATACTATTACAATAATTATATAACTATAACTATAATATAAATCGAAAGTATTTTAACAAAAAAGTATTCTACCTTGAGTTCAGAACGGTGAGTGACTTGGGAAACATGCAATTGACACTCCACTCCACATTGCCATGGTCATTGCAGATGGTGATCGAGAAGCGACCATAGTTGGCCCGGATTAGATTGATCACATCCCCAGGATCACACTCGATTGTCAATTTCTTACCTTCGCAGGCGTAGGCGGTTTGGTACTTGGAAACTGCAAAGGAATCGATTCATAAGTCATGGTGGTAAAGGGCAGGGTAGGGGATTTGGGATATATATAGAGTTATGGCATATATTGAGAAGAAATGAAATTAGTGGCGTTGAGCTGGTTGTTGTAGTTTGGTTTGGTTTTGGTGATGAACCTGCAAAGACACTTACACTCTAACGATATATATGCACATGGGATATAGAAGACAAACATGTTTGGTAGCATGATACTCTTTTACACTGCCTGGGATATACTTAGTATATGTGGTGGTGGTTGTTTTGTGGCTTTGGTGGGTCGTTAGCGATGGATGCGCTTGGTAGCAAGTAGAAAAGTAGTCATAAATACCAAATCCTGCCGGCCCCAGCTCATGGTCCGTTGGTGTCCATCGTCGGTTATCGTCTAGGCCTGCTAGGGGAGTATTTTAACTGCAAGGAAGAGTTTTAAATTACTTAATAAGAATCATCACGGGAAAGGAATCAATATTGTTAGAAGAAGCTAATAAGTGTTGGTTTTATTAAATAATAGAAGACATGGATTAAGAACAAGGAAGGAAGCTAAATTCGGAAAATCCTTGTAGTTTGCCATTAGATCGAATATAAAATTGATCATATCTTTGCCAAAAAAGCTTTAACTTCAATTCTGAAAGCTGTTCTAGGCTAGTTTTTATTGGGATAAAAATATGCAATAAGACATTTAAAAAAAATTAGATATTTAATTCAGTTTTTGACAATTTTAACGATGTAAAAAAAAATAAATTTTGACCGTACATAGCTAGATCGACTTGGCTGTTGATGCTGATCATGAATATATATAATTTATAGGGTCGGAAATGACTCCACAGAATTTAAAGCTGCTAACTATAATTATTATACATTGCAAATTAATACAAAATATAACTTTTGTATTTTTTTTAAGAGCAAATTAGTGTTAAATCTTTTTTATGGAAATTTTCCATCGAAATTGATTATTAATGTCACCACAAAGGTGACCTATTTAAGGGTTAATTAATGAAAATCAATAAAAATAAGTGGAAAAATAGCGTACAGCTTATTTTATAAATAAACACAAATCACTAAATGTTTATATTTCATTTCAAATACTACTTACCTCTCCTTTCCAATATTCCCCTTTTTAGTTTTTTCACATTGCTCGCAATGTGGGATGAGAAATTCCTGAAAGAAAGAAAGAAGACATAAGATAATTGTTTACATATTGAGTACACACACACACATTCACGAACAGACAGGCAGACGACAAACGGAAGATAAGAAAAAGGGGGAGAGGGACTAAAAATACACACCCTTCTTGGATTCGAGTTGGTGCATCGATTTGTTGGGCAGAACAAAGACTCGTTTTCTCGGTATACCCCAACTGCATGTGGGTACATACATATCTTCACATATAGAGAAAAGTTACTGCAGCTGCGCTTCAAGTTTCGTCTGGAGCTGCAACTTGTCCAGCGGAGCCCCACTTTCGATGGCTTTCTTTGTTCTGCCACACAGTTCCCATTGTGGAATTTGAAGATGTTTTGTTTTCAGATTTTCTTGGAAATCAAACATATTAGCACTTGGGAAAAGCATTTTTCTAGTTGATTTTGATTGATTATTAAGGTTTTCCACTTTAAAGAATGTAACTTGGTGACGTAGCAACAGACGCTTGTAAGCTGGGTCTAAGCTGCACTTCTTTTTATTTTTTCATTCACTTAGTGTTCTTTAGTTTGTTATTCTTTATGGTAATATGTTTTTTTTCAGTTAAGTTGATGCTTTTCACTGTCTGAAATGAGTTTTTGTCGGAGCCCAATTTAAACTTTCTATTTTTTTGTTAGAAAAAATTCTGTATACCTGAATTTCTGGTTTGAAAAGGGTATATCGATAATCGATAGTTTCGTTTATAAAAAATACTGTTGTTTAACATTTTACATCTTACACGTCTAGATAACCATTTCACACGTTTACAGATACATGGGGTCGAATTCTCACTTTTGGGGTCGAATTCTCATGTGTAAAGTACAATTCTCATGTAAAATGTAAAAATCGTAACATTTGCCGAAATACTGATTAGAGATAATCCTAATCGACCTCCACGAAATCTGGTCATACTAAAAAAACCCAGCTGCCAGCTCTGGAAATTATGCCAGTAGAACTACCATTCTGTTTTGAAAAAGGGCGGGTAAAACTTATGAACTTCAAAAGTTTGTAAATGCAATACAAATAAATCCGAACAAAAGAATAGTTTTCTAGATTTAACTTAAATTTTACTGTAATCATCAATTTAATTAATATGTTGATAAAAACAGCGGGAAAAGTATGTTTCTCAAGTTCAAGTTTAGTCTCTCCAAGTTCAGCTATTCTTATCAGCACGGCGCTTGGCATTTGCTATTACTTCCTGATTCACATAACTTGGGAAAATGCATTTCGCTTGCGATTTCAGTTGAATTTTGATTTCACTGTAAAACGGGTCAACAAAATCGGAATGGAATACTTATTTGTAATATTAACTCTGCTGTTGGCATCAGATCGGTCCGTTCAAGTAGTAATTAAACCCAAATCCCCAAGGATCTTCCAAAGGAACCATTGAAAACTAAAACGGAAATTATCCCCTTGACGCGGCACAAATCGTCACAGTAACAGCCGCACCGGAAAAACTGGCCGAGGTCCATATTGACCAACACAAAACCATTCGGATTAGCAAGGGAGATCTTGATGATCTGCTGGATGTATATATGGGAAAAATAGCTGAGAGTGCCGCCACAATTAAGGATAAGGAGCACGAAATCAACCAACTGCAGTCCAAAGATCAAACAGATGATGAACTGGTCAAGAAATTCGAGAATCTCACAGAGACTTGTAATGCCCAAAACGTTTCCCTTACGACTGAGATCAAGGAGAAGGACGACAAGATCAAGGAGCTGGAGCAGAAAGTTAAGGTCTACGAGACCCGCCTGAAGAGAAAACAACATCTGGTCACCGATCTCAGGAAGCAAAATACTTCCAATGTCCTGTTGATTGATCATCTCAAGGCAAAGGTTATATATTTCCAAAGAAAATTTCGTGAGAAAAGGGACGACCTGCTGGCAGATTGGGAGGCGGCGACCACAACATGTGTGCCATATGGTACCTCTCCTGGCATTCACCTGATTCAACTGCCAAATTTTCTTCCCTTTTTGGTGGCCTGTGAGGGTCAAACCGCCGCCGGACCAGGCTGGATAGCCATTCAGCGGAGACAGGATGGTACCGTGAACTTCTACCGTAACTGGGATGCCTATAGTAAGGGTTTTGGCAAGCTTAACGGGGAGTTCTTTATGGGTCTGGAGAAAATCCACCGCCTGACCACATCTCAGCCCCACGAGTTGTACATTAGCTTTAAGAGATTCAGCGGCGAGACGAGCTATGCCCACTACGATGACTTCCTTATCGGCAGTGCAGAGGAAGGCTACGAGTTGACGCTGCTGGGTCATTATCAGGGAAACGCCAGCGATGCCTTGCGTACCCACGACAAAATGAAGTTCTCGACCTTCGACCGGGACAACGATGCCTTCACCCACATGAACTGTGCGGTGCATCATCAGGGAGCTTGGTGGTATGACTTCTGCTCAAGGAGGTAAGCAGCTATCTTAAGCTTATTGAAAGCTTTAGAAGGATTTTTAAAAACTTGTATAAGAATCACAGGATATATATTTCTTGTTTTGTTTTGCACACAGCAATTTAAATGGCAAATACTTCAAGGAGGAGGTGGACAATGCCCAGGGTATTTACTGGGAGCCCTGGTACAGCTTTCGTTCCCTCAAATCCGTGCAAATGCTCATTCGACCCAAGAGCCAAATGGACCTGAAAGACTGGGAGTCCAAGACCAAGCGAAGACCCAGGAATCTGTGATAAGAAACCTCTCCATCGAATAATATGTATTCTCTGCCACAAATTTAGTGCTTAAATATATGTATATATAAATTTTTATAATTCTTACTTTGAGCCGACAAACTCATTAATATCTGCTGTTTCGCCCTCCATTGACTCGACGCCCCCTTTGGACAAATGATTGGCTCTCGATTTTGTTTTCAACCTCGCTCTAGGGGTAATTACTTCGTCACAGTTCACTGGATTTCACTCCTAGACATTTGTGTGTTTGCTTTTTGCATTGGGTGGGTGCAATTAATTTTCATTTTCTGCTTCGTAATTTGTTCTGTTGCAACAATTTAATGGAATCTAATTGAGTGTGTGTTTGCGCACAAATGAAATAACTCTGGGAGACGCCGACTCATTTATCACTTGCACTTTCCTCAACTAAATTGGAGTCAATAAACAGAGCGACAGCGAGTTAATATCGATTTCCGACTTCGGGAAAGAGTTATACATATATGTTCAGCCAGCTTTAAGCGAAAAATTCGAATTCCAACTGACTGAATCCAGTTTGGGTTGAGTTTAATAATAATTCCTACAAATTAGTTAAATTCCATAACAACTGCTTTAATATACATATAATATATCCTTGGGTAGAGGTGTATTTTTGGTTTCACTTTCAATGGCTTTGGTTTCTGGCTAGCAAACCAGTTACAAGCATTCAACTAATGGCAAGTTAATCGTCTGATTGCAGCGATAAAGCTTACAGAACTTGAGAAGCAACACTTGCTAGCTAGTTATCAGACACACTTGCACTGTAAATAAATACATTATACTTAGTGTTAGATCGACGATATGATTCCAGCACGCTAACTCTTTACAATTGCCTTGTAAATATTGTCAAGTGCAGAGAGAGAGAGGGGAGAACTTTGAGTGGTGCGGCGTGGTCTACTTCTCGTCCGGGGTCTGCCCCTCGGGGCCGTGCTCCCGCTTCTTGTGCCATCGCAGGCTAGCAAACTGGGCGAAGCGCTTGTGACAGGCACTGCACTTGTACTTCTTCACCGTCAGATGCAACTCCGTGTGCTTCTTCAGGTTTCCGTATGTTGTAAAAGTCTTACCGCAAACCGTGCACAGGTGCTTGCGGATCGCCCAGTGGGAGTTCATGTGATCAGTGAAACGATTCTTCTCGTAGAATCCCTTCGCACAGATCGGGCAGTGGAATGTTGACTGGTTGAGGTGCCGCCGCCGGTGGATGTCGAAGAAGGACCAGGTCTTGAAGGACTTGCCGCATAGGTCGCAGATATAGGGCCGTTCGCCGGTGTGGCTGCGTAGGTGGATGGCCACCTCCGTGGACGTGGCAAAGCGCTTGTCGCACTGCTCGCAGGCATAAGGGAAATCCCGGCGATGTCGCCGTATATGCACCGTCAGATTGCACGGCATTTGGAAGCCCTTGCCACAGAGCGTGCATATGAAAGGTTGCGTCCCATCGTGCCCTGAACGGTGAACCTTGTACTGATCACAGGTCTTGACCAGCTCCGAGCACACATCGCAGCGGAAGGGTCCCAGGTTCTGCTCCAGAAACTCCGACAATTTGGCGTGCAGCAGGGGAATGCTGCTGCTGGAGTCACCAGTGAGTATTTTCCGTTTCTGAGCTGAGAAATCCTTGCGCAGATCAAACAGCGTCTTCTCTAGATGCTCGGCAGCGTAGGAAGTATGAAAGGTGGTGTTTAATTCGTCCAGCATTTGACCCAAAGCCTGGCTGCGATAGGCATTTGAGCGAAAGTCGGGATGATCCACATCCCATAGAGCTGAGTAGTTGCGGTAGATCTCTACGAACTGCAGCTGATCCTCGGCAGTGGCGAACTGTATGGAGCTGGCATCGATAAACTTGGTCTTCTGATTGGTCTCCACCACCCCGACTTTCTGGAATACTGAATAAATTAGTTTTCTTGGATAAACAGCAGCTAATGGAACTCTACCTTGCTGATCTTGGTGAAGATCTGCTCCTGCAGTATCGGCTGCAGGAACTCCATCTCGTCGTAGCACCACAGTTTGGGCAGGTACAGACCCTTGTGCTTGATCACCATGCGCAGCTCCTTGCGGTAACGCGTCCTCAGCTTTTGGATCTCCTTGTAGCACTCCTCGCCGCTCAGCTCGTAGCTGAGTTCCTCTTGCAACTGAACGGATATCTCCCGGTATAGATCCTTTTTGCAGCAACTGGCATAGTCGTAATGCTGCGGATTCCACAGGCATTCCAACCTCTTGAAGGCATCCAGTATATAGCTTAGTACTTCGCGGTAAAGAGTTGATTTGCTGCAGGACTCGGCATCCGTTTCGCAAGACTTTTCGCTCTCGGTGGTCTCACTTGAAATCTGAGGAACAAATTAAAGATAAACCTTGAGCAAACTGATTTACTGCAGTCTGAAGAGTAGATTTTCTAACCTTGGCCTCTCTCTCCGCTCGCTTGTTCTCAATGACGCCTCTGAGAAAGTGCATCCTATCAAAGTACCACAACCGCGACTTGTACTTCCCACCAAGAGCATTCAGCTTGCTCAGCTCGCGGCGGTATCTGCCCCGCAGTTCCTTGAGCACAGCAAAGATTTCGGCACCAGAGAGTCGCATATGGCAGTGACATTCCAACGGAGCAGCCAGTTCTCCGTAGACGCTACGCTTGGCATTGTATTTGTAGTCCGGATGCCGGGGATTCCACAGCTTCTCCATACGTTCATATTCCGTCAACAGAGAGCTAACAAACTCTCGATTGCGCTCTAGTTCGCGTCGGGTTCTCTGGGAGGAGAATTAAGAAAATATTTGTTATATATAGTTGCTCTCGATAGATTTCAATGAAATAATAAGATTATAAACCATTAAGTGGAGCTAATCACCGTTTGAAAGTCCAGGCTGCTCGCCACACTGCTGGTGGGTGAGGTGGGCGGCATGGGAGTGGGTGGTGTGGCTGGCGGTGTCATTTCCAGAACATTCTTCTCCGGCTGCTCGATCGGATCTTCCTCGGCGGCCTCCTCCATTTCCAGTTCCTCTATCTGCAGCAGCAGCTCCTCCGCCTCCTCCTCCTCGCCTTCGCCCTCTTTTGCATTCTCGTTTGCCGCCTGGCGAAGCTTACGCTGCATTGCCTGCATAAAGATGTTGAAATATTTCGCATAAATAAATAAATTTGTTACTGTTGCTGTCCAGCGATGGGATTAGCACTGCCACATGATCTCGTCCGGCAGTTTATATCGTGTATACACACACAGCCCAGAGAAGTCGTAAACAAAAAGCGAAAGTCCCCACTCCCGGCTCCCTCACTCTCTCTCTGGTTACTCGATTCTCAAATATCAGCGGCTATTGGCCTTTGTGTCGTCGTCGTCGTCACCGTTCTTATCGCACTTGCATATGGCCAGACCGACTTCCCTATTCTCCCTCCCCCCAATATAAAAATATATATATTATAAGGCATATGTGTCTCTCTATTTGTTTGTTCGTTTTCTATATTGTTTTGTTTTTTGCTGGGAAAGAAGAGTACACAAACCGGTGCCTCCAGAAATAATTACTCATGTATCGTGTTTCACAATGGAGGAGTATACTCCTCAGTTCTTTCTTATTTCAACATACTTCGGAAGTAATTATCCCTGGAGAAGGGGGTTTAAAACTAATCAAGGGTCAAGCTAAGAGTTAATCCTCCAATTTAAACAGTAATATTAAAGATTAACTATTGAAATCGAAGCCTGGCAAAGTCCTTACTTTGATTTACTTCTTTACTTATTTAATTAATCCTATTACAGGAGAGTGAGTATCTGTAATGCTTTACAGATTTTAACCTTTGTTTCTGCTATTTATTTCTTATTTTTTCTAAGAATTCTCTTTAGAACCTTTCTAAAAATTCCTATTTCTAAATTATTCTTAATCTTTTTCCTTTAAAAATTACGAAACAGAACGCGACCTACCCTCATATGTTTCAAGTACTTCAGAACAGTTGTCGATAAGGTTCCACTGGCCTAATTAGGAATTCGCAAGACCCAAAATTAAAAAGCGAAACGAAATTTGTATTCGGCATGCAAATGTTTTGTTCTGGCAAACAATGCATATGGGTAAACGTATTTCCCTATACGATGAGCAGTTCTAACCAGTTTTTGCCCGATATAAAGCTTACTATAAGGCGTGCAACACCCCTATTTCCACATTGTCTTAGGATTATATATAACTAACCTTGGAAAATGGTTCAGTTTCATCTGAGTGAAATTAGCTACATTGTCTTCTTTTACCATATAGAAGATATAATTAACATTAGAGCATTAAGAGCATTCAAAGCTATCGTTTTAGTTTATTTTATTTCCATCGAGTTTTTCGTTTAGCCATAATTGGTAGTTGAAGTTGTCGCCTGATTGTCTTGAAATTGAGGTGACCACCACAACAGTTGTTGATATTTTAGCCTCTCGATTTGTATTCCCCTTTGTTTTAGCCACAACCCCCCTTTAGACCTAGACCATCCAACAAAAACGTCGATAAGGTTAATGGGCCTCTAGATAAAGTGAAACGTGGCCCAAAGGCATTAAGAGTTATGGCCGATTTCTATTTAATGTGTTATTAATTGCACTGCCTGTTTGTGGGTCAAGTTGTCTTTGAGTAATGAAGGTAATTGAGTTACAGGACATTATATTTAATATATATTATATACATATATACTTTCTCTCGAATTCTCAATCTCATGGAATACAAAACCCTTACAGCTAAACCCTCTTCATTGGATATTCATCAAGCTGTACAATTGGCAACCAACTAAGCCAGCAACCAATCATTCATTCAGCTATCGAATCGGGCCCTGACCTTTTACCGAATCCCTGGAAGCTAACTAAACTTTACAGAGTTAATTGAATAACTGAAAAATTTGCTAAAGGGAGGGGTTAAAAAAAAGGCCCAAGCCTTGGCCCCAATTAAAAATGCAATTTCAAACGTCGAAATGAAAGTTTCACCCTTCAACTCTCTCTCCTCTAATGTTCTCTCTGTGGCAAAGCGAGCGAAAACATTTTCATTTCGAGCGACTGGAGCGAGACCCAACTGGGGGTCACACCCACTCGACGACGCCAAGGACCACGGAGCAGAGCACTCGGAGCGCGCCCATCGGAAAAGGTGAGCAGAGTAAACCCATTAAAAGCAACCCCAAACACAGGGCCTGACCCTGCAATCCTTGACGTTTGTCTGCCTGGCAACAGGAAATAGTTCCCATATCGTGGCTGCATTGCATTGCATGGGAATAGACTCCCACATGCGTTCACTTTTAGTCCACATTCACATCTAGTCCACATCCAAATGGTGCAAATGGTTGAACAGCTGTTTTGTTTTACATTTTTTTATCCATTCCCTGGATCGAGAAGGTATGTTGGAACTATCATTGAGGGTTTTAAATGGTTTTTTGAAATTTAAAATGGTTTTTAAAGTTAGCAAAGGGGTTTTTGAGTTATAAATAGTTGGGTTAGCTTTTAGGCACGTCTCCTAAAATCATCTTATTATAAATATATTGCAATATTTAGTCAGTAGATTAGTATCCTTATCCTGTCTCACATACACAGCACTCCCAGTACGTTTCACCCAAGTCAACTATTTTCTTTTCTTATTATTTTTCATATTGGTGTAAGAATAGAGGCAGCAAACAAAGGCATGGCTGACCAGAGCTTCTAGTCTCCCCAGTCTGGCCCTAGACAACCCCCATTGAAATGTGTGTGGGGTGTGGCTGTCCAAGAGACCGAAAGCCTTGTCCGTCCCGGAATTCTCCCTTGCCTGCGTCACGGCTCCGGCTGCGGCGAACTGTGTGTTTACCGAACACGCAATTGAAATAATTGATCCAGTTAACAAAATTGCATAAAAATTCAATAAACAACAATAGCAGCAACAGCAGTGAAGCTTCATATTCCGGGGTGTATTTCGTTCGATATGTTATAGTATATAGAAACCCGATCGCAGAGCAATCTTATTGAGTTAAGTTGAGTGTTCTCCCCCTTTATGTTTATTTATAAATTGCTCAAACGAAGAGGGGGTCGGGTCGGTTGAAACTCGTTAGAACTGTCAGAGTCTTGAAATGTGAACCAAAGATGAGAAAGGGCCAGGAGGAGGGATCATTGCATTGAAGCCATAAATCGATATTGAATCAGAGAATGAATTTGTTTGGAGTTCAAATCAATGAAGTTAATAGAAATGAATCCCTCTGAGTGGGTTGTAAAACAATCTGGAAGCTTCAGTTGTTTAACTAACTCGGAAATGTTTAGGCAGCTATTGGATTTGTAGGAATTAATTGTTGTGTAAGCATTAAAAACTCGACTAGCTTAAAGGTCAAGGTTTTCTATAGATTTATACAAGAGAACATGATCATATGGATTAGAAAATTCTTTGATTAGGAACACTTTTTGTGGTTTACTTTCAGTTTGAAAATGGAGTTCCTTGAAGGGAGTTGTTCGGTCTTTACAGAAACCTTATAAATTCTCTTAAGAACACTCTGTACTCCTATACAATAATTCCTTAATTAACTGCTTTGTATTTCTATTAAATTTATATTTATTTTAATCTGTGCTAAAATACGTTTAGTTCCTTTAATACTTCTTATAAAATTCTGCTATCCATCGGTCAAAACCTAGAACCATTTCGTGTCTGGACAGCAGCTGCGTCATCGGGCGGCTCTTCAATTAAAAGCTATTGTTTATTGCATTTGTCACCAAGCGAATAATAATAATAATAAGAATAATATGCGGGCATCAGCAGCACCAATCAAAAGTTCCTTTGATGATGTTGCGCTCCGATTGCGGAGCATCGAATTAATTAATGGAAACTCTTATTTCAAAACATTTTAATTTCCCACCAAATGCGATGGTGATTATCGGATGTAGACCAATTGGTGGACGGACAAGGAATGTGCGAGCTTAGGAACTTTCAGGGTCTTTATATGTGCAAATAAAAGATTCATGGGAAAGCCCGTTAATACGACGCTTAATGCTCGGTACCATTGTAGGGCTTTTTGGCCCCGAAATGGTGTCAACACACGGCCGCCTCCGTTTGTCTCTCTGTTTGATTTGGCCCCAGGGAGGGCTTTAATTGATCGAACGGCGAACAGAGGCATTTGCCGAGTGTCTTGTTTACCATATAGGCTGGCTTTATGGGGCCTCGGGACAAGCTCAGCTCCCATTTTTGTATGCTATATAAAATGATGCCCCTCTCCAAGCCATATGACAACGACGAACAAAGGCGGGCGAAAAGGCGCTTGACGGTGGCAACGGCGACATGCAAAATCCGGAAGAACACGAGACTCAAATGTAAATGTAATAAAGCCAACGTGAGCTAATAAATTATGAAGAATATTTCAGCTTTTTTTCACGCAACCCGTGGCCCGGTTGCGTTCTGTTTTATGGCCAAGCATAAAACTTGTCCACGCCCTTGATGGGAAGCGCACGACGAAAAATAAACCGATGGGAAACCTTATAGAGGCCATACATGAAGGAACGCACCGGGAACCGGGAAGCAAACAACGCGAAAGCCAGATTCAAATATAATACCGGGAGAGGCATTAAGTGCAATCAATTTCTGACAAAAAAACAGTAATAAAATAAACAAAATGCGCTAGGCAGAAAAACTTTAAACAAATAACTTCTGTCAGTCACAAGGCTGCATTAATTAAATTAGACTGATTATAAAACCCACTCAACTGATCGATCGGGCCACGGACTATAGCGGGTGTAAAAGCGACTTAAGCTCTTCAGCTCCTACTTTTCAGACATTCACATGCCGAAATGTTTAGTTAAACTTGTTAATTATAATAATTATTTAATAGGCATGAATGTGGCTGATAAAAACTGAAGCATTTGCCGTCAACATGTCCTCGTTTTTCTTTTTCTACCATGATTAACGTGCACATAAATCGAAAATTCCCGAAATCAAACTGGAACCCAAAGATTTTGAAAGGTTGAAACCAAATTATCGCCTGGGAGACGATAATAAACAGAGCGCATTGATACGAATATACACTCGTCTTAAGATAAGATTATGGCCGATGATGATATATGGGATGATTTCTCAGTGCACAACTCAGATTTTGGATGGATTTGCGATGATTTAAATGGGTTCTTCAGGAGGCTATATCTGATACTGACACAATCTAAAGCAAATACCTCTAATCGATGGTTTTAAGTAATAAACAGATCTAAGGAATATCTTTCCCAGAAAAGCTTATAAAAGGAGGTTTCAGGAAATGGGGCATTATTGTATATATATTCAGTAGCACTTCCAGTCGATCGATAGTTTTATTTCGATTTGCTGTCGTTAAGCATGGACAATGATTTATGGCCTGTGACTGTTTTTATGGCAGGTGCTCTAAAAATTCCAATTTACAAGTGTTTAAATGAACATTAAAACCTCCTTAGTTATGAGTTACGCGATACTTTCTTATCTCTAAGCCATTTTCAATAGCCGACAAGCATCGACAAAAATCTAAAAATTATTTTATTACCCCCCTAATAGAGATATTGGCCAACGGAAAGACTGACGATGAATTATATGGCATAGAAATGATAATGGCTTCAGGCGGGCTGTCTAGGGTCTCACGAACGATCGATATTTATATATTTTAAATTACTCGAAGGGGCGGAGAGGAGGAAGTGAAGTGAAGTGTTTAAAGATATCAATCAAGCTTAGTATTTATATAAATGTTAAGATTAATTATTAGAAAACTTCCAGTATTATGTAATTGATATTTTACGGTAAAATTACTTAGGGTAATAGGTGGTCAACTAGTAAAATATAGTTTATTCTTGTAACTTAGAATTGCTATAAAATTACATAATGTAGCTTTAAGTTTATTGATTATTTAGATTTCTTCTCGCAACTTCCAATTCCTGCCCCACTGTAGCGTCTACAAATGCTTACCAAATCGAAGCTTAGATAATTTCCCCCTATTTGTTTACCTCTTTGGGGTCTAGATAAAGCCCAAGCGTCGGCCGACGAGCTTGCCCAATGTGCGCTGATAGTAGCAAAACCGAAAAAACAACAGAATTACCAATAATGTCTACTGAAAGTGCCCGAAGCCTACGGGCAAATAGAAAATGATTTTTATCAACATTTCTATTTCTATTTCCGAGAGTTCTGTTATTTTGCCCTGACACCCAGCGCTCAATGCCCCGGATATCGGGCCAGCGATAATAATAACCAACATTTTAATGGTCTCCGGTATGCGCAATATACAATACATATTAACACACATCCATACACTTTCCCCATAATGCCTTGGATGACGACAACAAATGCATTCACATTACTCATACAGACGTATCCGTACTATTTTCCTTTAATTATTATTTAATTAGCTCATGTGTGGAATTATTATTTATTGACACTTACATTACGTCAACGAGAGTGCATACTATTTTTGGCCAAGGGAAAGAGATGAAATAATTAGAGAGCCAGAAAAGATTTCCAATAAAATGTGGTGATATTTTAAAAGGTTATTATCACCTCTAAACCATTGACGAACGAACATCTATGAATAGGTATTTAGAGGTCCGACTAGAGTGCCTGTCAAGGCTGAGAAAGCAATTTAACTCTTTGACAATTGAAGAACATAGTTTTTTTTTAGCGATTAGTTTTAAAATATATTCCCAGCATATTGATTTATGTCGGGGAAAAAGAAAATGTTATGTTTTTTAAGGGGAATTTGAAAATCCCTTCTCAAAAACTATGCCTAAATATTCCCATCAAATCTGGTTCCACTCAAAATTATTTAAAAAATATATTTTTAAGGTCTAATACATTTATAAAAAAAATAATTAACTTTTATAAGCTTGTAAAACTGTTTTGAATCATTTCCAAAAGTCTGTGAAGAAGATATACTATGCAGACTATATTCTTTACGATATGTGACACCATCCACAAGTTCTGTATCCGTCGGTTGACATAAATAATCATTTTAATTACCATTTAATAGATATTTATTTTTAAAAATCATCTACAGAGTAAAGGCCTCTGCCAAAACAAAGAATATTTTCATGGGCTGTTTTCCAAAAAAACATCGAGTGTTTGTGTCCCAATTTTCGAGTATTTTTCAGCCTCTTTTACTATACGTTTTTATATGTGCATATATATTTGTTTTAACACGTAAATATCTATGAGCGTACAGATGTGTGAGCAACAAAAGATATTGTTGTTACTTTTTCTTCAGTCAGTCAATTTCCATGTCCACAAAAAATGGAACAAAACAAAAGTGAAAACTCGAAGAAAAAGCTGAAAAATTGCGTCGCATTGGGAAAAGAAGAAATAGCAAGGCAACAAGGCAGACTGACTGACAAACTGACAAAACGCCTCCCTGTTTGCCTGTTCCTTCAAAATAAATAAAAAATAAAAAATATAAGAAAAGGCCATGGACAGCAAAAGGGACTTAAAAAGGGGAAGACTACGAGAGAACAAAAGCGTGAGGCATGAGCGGGCAAAATGCGCGACACACTTTTGCTCAATATTTTGTGTGTTGTGTGCCATTGCGCCGTTATTTTGAAGGTCAAGTGACCAGGGGAAACGAAAACCTTCTCCGGAACTGCCTGGGCCCAGCCCGCCCTCCTCACCTTCGCGGCCCGCGCTCCCCCTGAGAGCAACGGAAAGCCAATTTTGCATTACAAAATCGAATGAAAGGGGAAAAGGCAAAAACAAAACACAACACAGCACAGTGAGTGTTCGCTAAAAGAAACCTTAATAACTTTTATATTCCTATCCAAAATTAAACCTATAATTAAAATTTTCTGTTATTGCAAAGTTATAATCTAAGTTCTCAAATATAATGTTTTTCGACAGATAATTTATGTTATTTAAAATATTATTTGATTGATTTTTATATTTGTTTTATTTTTCTGTTATAATCCTTACCCAATTTATATTTGAATTTGGGTTTAAATCTTTAATCATCATGATTTTAAGTAATTTGCAAAGCTACTTCATTTAAGTACCCTTCGAAATCTAAGTTAAGTTAAGTAACTTTAAAGTGGAAAAATAAACAGAAACTGAAAGTTACAGCTTTGAAGCTCATACTTTCCATCTCTCATTTCTCCAATATAAACCTATTTACCGCATTCCCACTGTACTTAATAAATTATTAAAATGCTATTTCTGCCAAAGTCATTTGTCGTGCGATATTTAAGGAATCAACATAGTAGCGTGTGCCCACTGTGGGGCCATTGGGTGATTAACTTACCACGCGTCGTGTCTCATAGCGCGGCAACAGCGGAGTTGTAATCGGCGGGGGAGCAACTCCCTCAGCAAGCGGATTCAATGGCAAGTGTGTGGGCGGAGACATCACCACGTCGTGGAGCAGGGTGAAGGGATCGGTGTCGTCGGGATGTAGTTCCAGGTGCAGGGCCTGCAGCTCATCGCCCGTCGAAATGTCCGCTGAAGGCGGCGGCGAGGGTGGCAATGGATTTTCCACCACGTAAACCAAATCTATTTCTGGCGCCACGGCTTCCGTGGTGGTTATGTGCTGAGCGGTGGGGGTCGCCGGCGGCAGAAGGCTCATTAGCTGAACGTCCAAGTCTGCCTCCATGGGCTCCCAGGGGCTACAGCCCGCCTTCTTTTGTGGTGTCCCCTCCAGTGGGTACATCTCCGGGCAGTCCAGCTCCATGATCACCAGATCCGTCTGCGCTTGCTGCTCGGCCCGTTCCTCGGCGGTAACTGCGTCGTAGCGCCGCCTCACCTCCTGGGTGTGCTGCTCCCGGACATGGTCCATGAACACGGAAAACTGCAGGCAGATGGCCGGACAGAAGGCGCAGTTGAAGCCGAAGCTCTGGACGTCCGGCGAGGCGGTTATTTCCCCGCACTTGCGAAAGTACGCGTAGTCCTCCAGCTGCCAGCTCAGGGACTGCGTCGACTCCTGCAGCGGCATCATCTCTGCTCCAACTTGTCGTTTTTCCCACTTTAAAATATTAATTTTCACGGTTTTCTATTTGGCGCACTCGCGACGTACGAACGGGGCGAAAACACCGAAGCGAGCGCGGAGCTTTCCGATTTTAACTTTTGATCCAAAAAACCGGCAAAGAAATGCGGTGTGACCGAGGCGGGACCGTTAAAATATACCGTGGCGGGTGTCCGAAATAGTGTGGCCATGGCGCAAAGCGCTCAAAATACCATTCGAAAACTAGACGGTGGATCATGACGCGAATTTAACGGACGGTTTTATTTTGGGTCACCATAAGGTTTTCTCCATTTTGTTGACCACTTATTTAATATTTATTAATTTGTTACATTTTTCAAGCCTAATAACATGGTAATTACAGTCAAGAATGATTACAATTATAATGTTTTAATTCTAAATAGAACGCCAATTAAAAAATTTAAATTAAAACTATAAAGAATATATATTTCTGTTATATTTGTATTTATTTATATAATTTAATAAATAATATATAATGTTTAATTTAAATTCTTCTTCAAAACATAGTGCCCTGATAGAAGCACAGCTTAAATTTTTTTTTTGCATTTTTTGAAGCACAAATGCTGTCATACTTTCAGTATATTTTGGTATTTTTCGCATCGGTCGATCTGTCGTCATATTTTCAAAGTTCAGCCACGGTCACACTTCGCAACAAATAATTCCAAGACAGCGGGCGGTTTAATAGCAAAATATTCAAGTAAATGTTATTGTTTGTTGGTTTTTAGTCAATTTACATCATGGGATTCGTGCTGTCCAAGTTCCGGGTGCGTATATCCTGCCATTGTGATCCGCCGGGAGTCAAAATGCTTATTAACGAGCGGCCAAAAATGTGGCGAAAAAACACGAAACCAATGCCAAATCTGAATCTAATTATAGAAGGAAAAGTCTACGGAGGCGGTGTTGGAGGGGCTGCAGACGCAGATCCAGGCATTGGAGAAGTACATGATCAACACGGAGGAGCGGAAGCGGCGGTTCGTGACGAACTTTGTGGGCTTCACCATCGGTGCCTATATCGTGGGCTTCGGACTCTGGTACTTCTTTTATTTCCCGCCGACGCTACAGGAGTGCATTGTGTACCTGGTGCCGCTGCTCCTCTTCCCCATCGTGTGAGTGATCGAACCCAAGCTAGCCCATCTTTGAGTCACCTCTATAACAGTCAATATATTTATCATCCGGATATTCCAGTATCATCTTGCTGCGACGCCTGTTTACGTGGTACTTTCAGCGCAAGCTGAACAAAAATGGCGATAAGCTGGCAAAGCTGAAGGAAGACAAGCGCGTCCTATTGGAGCAGGTCATGGACAAGGAGACCTATAAGGTAAGACAATCATTCATGATGATTGACAATATTTGATTTGCATTACTTTTCTCCCTAAGGTGGCACTGAATCTCTTGGAGCGCTTTGGTGATAAGAAGCAGCTTCGCCTCGGCAGCGGCCTGCAGACACCCAACCGGCACACACTGGGCGACCGGTCGCCTCAGCCCGTCGCTCGAGCAGCTATCGGTCAGCCCCAGCAGCAACAACAACAACAACAGCAGCGATCGCTGACTCCATACACTAGCGTCTATCGAAATAACAATAACAATAGTAGCACCAGTCTGAATCGCAGCGTCATCAGCTCGCATTCGCTGGCGGTGACGTCAGCATCGCCACAAGTGCGCGCCGTGCAAGAACTGCGCCGGCGAACACCTTTTCCCATTGTGGATGATCGGTCGCGGAGCGCTGTGGATCGCATCGTGGACTTCATCGTGGGTGATAGTCCACAGAATCGATTCGGCATGATCTGCAAGGAGTGTCATGGCCACAACGGTGAGTTCTGATCAGTAAAGGAGACTTTTTGGATTAGTTCGAGAGGGGGAAGGAAAACCGGTTAAGCTTTTACTTTTATTAGCAATTTTGACTACCAAATGCTGAAAGAGCACTATGTCTGCTATGCAGGCCATGCCTATTGAAAGTTATTTGCAATTCTAGATTAGATATTGAAATTTATGATAATGCAACCTTTACCAGCACAAGTCTACCTGTATGACATTTAGGGTTAATGACAGATTTTATACTTAAAATGTTTTGCGTTCTTGTATTATTATAGGGGTAGAACTTCGGAGTAATTTAAATGATTTCTAATTGTTAAATTCTTTCATTTTCGTTTAGGAATGCTGCCGAAGGAGGAGTACGAGTACGCTTCTTTCCGTTGTGCTTTTTGCAATGTACTGAACCAGGCAAGGAAGGAGCGACCTGTGGCACCCCGCCTTTCGCTAGAGACCCCGACACCAGCCTCGACTAAGCGCAACGAGAGCTCTGAGAGTGAATCATCCGATGATGAGGAGTCGGGTAAATATTTAATTTTTTTTTTTTGGGGGGAAAGCTATTTTAGGAAGCGTTTCATTGCAAATTATCTAAAGGTTGAGGTCATTGAAACTTTGAACAGCGTCAATAATATTGTTAATACTATTTGATAGTATTTATTACTCTATAAATTTAAATTTTTACTACGTAGTTTTTTATATTTGGCCAGCTCTTTTAGTTGCTTTCCCTTTCAAATTGTAAAACTACCTTCACTAACAATACCCTATACCATTTTAGATAAGCAGGCAACAGTGCGACGAGTTCTGCTGCAGGATGTGCCATCGAGTCAAGGCGATATTGACGCCTCCTACCTTAAGGAAGACTTGGAAACGGAGGAGAGGGAGCCAGAGACAGAGACACCAGAGACTGGATCTACTGCTGCTGCTGCTGTTAGTGGTGACGTCAGCAAAGCTGAGGTGACTGCTACTGGCAGCTCCTGAGTACACACACACAGACACATACGTTACAGATTTATGCAACACCTTTAGGCGCCAGTCAAGCAAAATTCTTGGATTATTTGCTTATTAGTTTACATATTTAATTTTTTAATTGGTAAGCAAATTTTAACTGAATCTGTTATTATGAATTTAAATGGAATGCGAAATTGTTTCGAGTAGCTGCACTACTACTTTCTTCATTGGGTCAGCCACCCCACCTCCGCCCGAGGTGTGGGCGGCCCGGGCGGTTTAGCACCACTCCCCCGTGCAACTGTCAGCATAGAAGGAAGTTGATAATTAAAATCTAGACAAAATAAGGCGACAACTAATGGCATAATAATTTAAAGCACGCCGCGGCGTGTGACAAAAAAGGCAAGCCGATATCACTCGGTGGCCGGCAGCGATAGTTTACTTACTTACAAGCGCGAGAACACACACATGCCACTGCGCCGCCGCGACTCCAGACTAACACTGCATTATGCGAACGGTCAACAATTTCAATTTCGCTGGCTTTTATTTTGCTTTATTCTGTTTTTTTTCCGGGCCATTGATCAAGGCTAACGAGATCGATCGGCGCTGGCTGGTGGCCTGCCTGGTTGCCTGGCAATCTGGCGGTGCAGTAACGTAACATAACGCATTAGCCGGGCCAACACCACCACCAGCCAGCGACCACCAGCGCCCACCTACACGGAGAAGAAATATTACCGAAATTGGATCTCGTGTTTAATTTTTTCTTTAAATTTTAAATGTGAAATTATTTTTGATTGCCTAAATATTAGTTATGCAGAGCTAACGGAGTTTAATACTTTATTTATTCTTTAAAACAAACTATATAACCAAGCCCTGATAAGAATTAATAAAGAATAGGAATATTTATAAAAGTCATGTATTTTTACACCTTGCAGTGTTACTAAAATAAATTAAAGGTTATTTCTATGAAAACTAATGTTGCAAATTCCAAATTTGTTAAATATTCTTGTGAAATTTGTATGAGAGATTAAGAATAGTTTATTACTTATTTATCAGGGGTTAAGCATGATATTAAACCCATTTTAAATAACATAAAATATGATTTATAACTAAAAAAATGTATGACCAATCCCTAAAAGTTCTGACTTACAAAGAGCTATAAAGATGCCAAGTTTTAATATTTATTTTTATCAATAAACGGCAAAGTAAATACAAGAAATGATTTTTCATGCTACATATATCAATAATTGAAACTACTATTTTTATATATGTATATTCAGATCAACTTTCGATATATTAGATATAATTATTATCTATTTTGAACTGTGTAGTACTAGGTGAGGGTGTTGAGACGACGGCAGGAATGGGGATTGTGTGGATTGGACGGTGCCGCGCCCGCGCAAATTCCTTCCAATGGCTGGCGGCAAACACAAATTATAAGAATTAAACTAAATCTGTTACACCGTTGCCAACAATTGGGCACGTCTGTCCCCGAATCTAACATGTTCATATATGTGCAGATATATATGTACATATGTTGGCCAGTCGTGTGCCGGCGACCCGGGGGCGCTGGGAGCTGCCTGATTATCTCATAATTTGTGTGTGTCTGTGCCAGTGCGATTTTTCGCTCTTTTCCACGTAATTGAATTTCCCAACTGCCCAGGAAGTCGTCGTCGTCGTCGTCGTCATCAACGTCATTCTCTCGTACTCTAGTGCGTAAGGCGGTTTTTAATTTCAGTTTCACTGGCAAGTTGCGTGGTGGTCTGTGCGGCGTGTGTGTTGGCCGATCTGAACGGCCGTCAACCTATAACGGGTTATCGGAAATAAAAGTGGCAACGGAAAAATCTTAAACTAGGGACGGAATAGCTTGAAAATTAAAATCGAAAGTAAGTTTTATATATTTTTAGAGGGTAAGAGATAACCCCCTTTGATAACCCAAACACAAATTGTTTTTCTCAAAGGACCAGTGCAGCATGTTCTGCCCACGAAACTTTATCAGTAAGCTTAAGAATTTAATATATATTTAAAAGATTTTGTTATAAAATCGTAATTTTTATAGATGTATCAGACCCTGTAACATAATTATTATTAAACATATACTGTCTAAATAATACAGCAAACAACTAGGATTGCTTCTAGCTGTCGTAGGATCTAAAGAACTATATTTTTGGCTTATTGAAACTCCAAACCGCCTATAGCCCAGCCCTAGAACCTAGAAGTAAACCTCGGGCCGCCGCCTCTCGAATGCATTGGGATCTAGTGCAAGTTCGCTGCACCGAAACCCGTTTGCAATGACTCGGAGCACCGCTGCCTTCCGGGCAGGCGGACCGACGACATGTGGCAGTGGCATGCCAAGGCGATGCTTGGTTTTGCCGAGATCCGATGGCGACCTGTGTGCCTCTTACACGAACCAATCCGATCCAATTCAATGCGAGCCAAGTGATTCACGAACTGATCCCTCTGCTGGCTCTGCTGGCTGGCTGGAAATCGAAAATTGGCCAAACGCCAACGCGGCTTTGTCAAAAAACACACACCATATATAAGGCCTGGCTAGGAGATTTCTATATTTTGTTGTTGTTGTATTTTATTTCTGGCCAAAATGCAAGTTGGGGGCTTAGTTCATTGCTAATGACGGCATGTCGGTAACTCGATATAAGTGCATAGTTGTCTGTGTGTTTGCATAGTTGGGTGTTTAAGCATATTACCCCGTATATGTATATATATCTACATATATGTCTGTCTGTCCGTCGGCCCCGTTCGATTTATTTGTCCGCGCGCTCCGCAACAAAGACTCATAATAATCTGTTGGGCCAATCAAGTAAAATATGCGCGAGATCAGTCAACTACAAAAACAAAAGCAAAAGTCAAGCAAAGTAAAGCAACTGCAGCAGCAGCAGCAGCAGCAGCAGCAGCAGCAACAGCAACAACCCAGCAGCAGCAACACCAAGAGCAATGAAAGTGAACCGAGAGACTCTGGCTGAGATTGAGACCTGGCCAAGAGCCGACTCGGTTCTAGCCAGCATCTCAGGCCAGCTATATAAGCTAGATGGCCGGGCTCGGCAGCAGCAGTGCAGCACTGACCAGGAACCCAATTGGAAGTTTGAGCTACGACATCATAGTCCAATTTGGCCAAGGATTACCATTAACCACCCAAACAGACCAACTCTAGCAACACCTGCACCAACTCAGCAACATGTTCTTTAAGCTGGTAAGTGGCCTTTGCACCAGGCTCAGATCAAGGCTAATATCTCCTTGTACAAAGTCTTAAATCAAAAGTTATTTAAATACTTCTAATTATCTTAAATCGGAGTAATTATTATTGAAAAAATAATAATTTAAAGTGAACTAATTTTGAGGATATAATATTTGAATATTTAATTGTGTGTTTTCTATACAATTATTAATAATTATAGCAAATATCCTTTAAAATAAGATCATGAAAATTCCTGAATAATCGTAATAATTTCTCATATTCTTCAGCTCCTCGCTACCCTCGTGGCTCTGGCCGTGGCCAAGCCCCAGCACCAACAAGCCGCCCAGTATCCGGCTGGTGTTAATCCCCAGGACTGCCCCGGTTTCCCCATCTGTGATAACGAGCGTCTGCACAATCCCCGGCCCCAGTGGGGCGCCCCGCAGCCGCAGTGGAATCCCCAGCCGCAGCATCAGTGGAATCCCCAGCCTCAGCCCCAGTGGCAGCCACAGCCTCAGCATCAGTGGAATCCCCAGCCTCAGCCCCAGTGGCAGCCACAGCCCTCGTGGAACGCTGCTCCGGCTCCTGCCGCTGGCGGTGATAAGTATCCGGCTGGCATCAATCCCCAGACCTGCCCCAACTATCCGTACTGCGATGTGAATGCCGGACATGCCGGTGCCCCGGTGGCTGCCCCTCCACTTCCGGGCTGGACGGAGCGTCTGTATCCCGCTGGAGTTTCGCCGCATCAGTGCCCCAACTTCCCCTACTGCCACTAGAGTGGGCGCAGCTTCCTCTAACATCATTCCCTTTCCCAGTTCTCAATTAGTGAACATTAATTTGAAATTCTTTGTTGTTGGCGCCGAAATAAATGCTAAATGTTGGTAAAAAAAAACAAAATGTTTGCTTAATGTGAGGAAATCTTCTTATATGTACAGATTTACAAAAATAATTAATCGAATTAACTTTATTATTAGATTAATTTCAAGTTTATGTTAAGGTACATGTTCAGGAAACAAGGAAAGTTACAAAAATCCATCTTGACAGTCCTTGAAATCCTTTCAAGGAAGTAAAAAACGTGTCAAGATTTTATTTAATTAAGAATACTGATTGTTTTAGGACCAGTTTTAAACATGTTAAACTAGGAACTGCAAGTGGGACTAGTTAGACATGATCTGCACGGCGGTCATGCCACGAGAATGTGCCCTGCCACGCCTCTGACTTACAACATTACGTGTGGGACAGGAGGAGTGGAGTGGATCGAACCAGACCGGATCGGGTCAGAAGGGAGCGGACGGACAGGCGGTCGACCTCAGTCGGAGCTGGTCCAGTGAGTGAGTGCTTTGTGAAAGTCGTTCTTGCAAAACTTCGGCTTAATTGCCGCCTTTGGGTTGGCACACCATACCAAGGTCAAGTGCAACTGCAAATTACAGGCTTGCAATGAGAGATTAACTAATGGAGCAATGATCCAATCGAAACTATCACATTCCCGGGCCAATTTACCTGTTCAATCGAAATTGTATTTCATTTATAATCAATATGGCATTGCTCTGCTTTTTTTGGTGTGTTATTATTTATGTTTTCATGGGAAAAGTGGTATGAAGCGAGGTAGTAATTTTGGAGGGTATTTCTTAAGGGACTTGTGTATACTAAATTACCCTAAAAGAGTTGGAATTTGTTATTTACTATAATCAGAAATATATAAATAACAAGAGCAGGGTCAGAATAATGTGGTATCTATGACAGAAGATGCAACAGAAGTCGTGTCTATACTTTTATTTAAGATTAAGTCAGCATTACTTCGAATAGTTTTCTAGACTAAAGAACACCTACAATAATGAAGTACCTATTCTTCATAAATAATCTATTTAACTATATTAATCCCTCCCATTTTTAGAAATTTAATTCTGATTAACACTTTTCTTTTTCATCAAAGAACACAGTAAAAACCCGTTGGTAATTTTCTGTATACAGTCGAATTGTGATTTTATTTACAATCATTAACTTAAGCATTGTACAATATTTACAGGCTGGTTTTATTCATTGATTTACTGAGTGTGGGTGGGCCTTCAGACTGCGGGACTTACAGGTGGCTTACAGCCAGCCGTGTCCGTGGTGAGAGCTCCAGCCGTGATGATCGTGATGATCATCGAAAACATGATGAACAGGGACCTCCTCGTGGTGGACATGATGGACCGGCACAGGGACCTCCTCATGATGGACATGATGGACTGGAACCTCCTTGTAGATGGGCACGGGAACGTGCTTCACCACCGGCACATGGATTTTCTGGACATGATGATGATGGACGGTGTGCACCTTGTAGGGAACGTGGATGGTATGGTGTTCGCTGTGGATTTGAAAAAGTGAAATCGGTCAGAAATATTGGCACCCATTGCATTGTGTGAGTGTGTGGGCATATTAGCTAATCAGTTGCTTGAACTCGTCGACATCTTGGCAGCCAATCGGAATTGGCAATTAGTCGGACAATTATGCGCGCATTACAAATGAATTAAATGCCAGTCGCAGCCTGTGAAATTCCTGAGCGGCGAGCCGCTGAGCCAAGATCGGCTAAGTTCAATGGTAGTGACTGCAGTTGGAATGGTCCGCCGCCGGTCTAAGTGGTGCGAGCGTTTTGATTGCTCAATTCGATCGCATATTTTATATATGTTTATATATATATGTATATAGACCCACGGCTCGGCTCAATCGCAGCGTTTAAAAAGCCATGCGACCGCTCGTTAGCTTAGCATAAAGCGGGAAATGGCCATTTTTATCGATTCGCTTGGGTTATTTATGGATCAGTTCAGGTGCCGGAGATCGGTGGGAGATATATCCGTACCTAGACTCAAATAAGTACTTACTGTTTGCCAAAGAAGCCCGGATGGGGGGCGCAGTAGGCCACGGCAAAGAGGGCAACGAAGATCTGAAAGGGGGATAAGGAAGTGTTTAGATCCGATTTAAGCCCCACAAATTAATATATATAATTAAGTTTAATGTGCACTGAGCCAGATAACTGCGGTTGGCATTCGTTTCAACCGTGCGGTAAGCTGATTTATAACAATAAAGTTTAAGCAGTTGAGAGGTAAGAGTTTTAATGTAATTTATAATGTCTGTAAATATTTTTGTAAGTTCATTCTATTTTTGTGGGTTTTATAAGGATTTATAATAAGGTAAACAACATTTTTAAAAACTTCATAAATCCCATAATACTTGAAGAGACTTTATATTAGATTGAAAAATATGTTGTTACGATAATAATAGCAAAAAAAATATACAATAGTACTTTATTAGTATAAGAACCTAGTTAATAAATAAACAGTATATTTCTTATTTAGTTTAAGCTTCAGATATCCTGGATCCTATTTTATGAAGAGGGAAATTCAAAAAGTTGTTACTTGTTTTTATAAAAAAAAAGCATTTTAAAAACTTGATTAAGCTGTACTAATATGTTTAATACATCCTAATATAGTTTAGAAAACTTTGTGATTATTGAAAAATCTCTTAAACTTATGAGTTCTTTTAAACTTATAAATACAAAATAAATTATATTTCTTCTTTCTATGTGTTTTAATACTTTGATTATTTGTTGCTTTCTGTGATAAATGATAAAGTTTTTATTGTTCATGTTACTGATCACGTAATTCCACTTGAATTAAATATATTTTCCAGCTCCATGTGGTTAATTTTTGAAACAGTTTTTTAGCACTTTGTTTATTTTTTTATGTAACACCGATATCCTTTTCGCACTTACGAAGGCTTTCAGGGCGGACATTGTGGGCTGGCGCTTAACTTTTCTGCACAAAGCAAATAATAAAACCGGAGCACTGTCAGGTGGTGACTGATAACCACAGGCTGCGACTCATCCGTTTTATACACGGCGCCAGCAGCGATTTTTCGCCAAAAGTCGACGGCGCTGCACAAGAAAGACGTGAGCTTGGTGCAGCGGCAACAGCAACAGCAGCAACACAGCAACAGCAACAGCAGCAACAGCAACAGCAACAGCAGCAACACAGCAACAGCAGCAGCAACGCCAACCAATCAACGGCAACGGCCAGCGAACATTCAAAACAGAAATAAAAAACGGCAACAGAAAAGCGACAATAACCATAACAGTGGACGTGAACCGCTGTTGGCCATGTTAATAAATGTGTGTGTGTACATGCGGTTGACTCCTCGGTGGCTTCTGTTTACCACTCATCGGGGTTAAGACCCATCTGCTGGCCGAAAAGGGGTATGGCTACACGCCAAGAAAATGTGTGGAATACTAAACACAATGTTGTATAAAATAAATAATACTTCAAAATAAATGTTTGAGGTAAATTAACATTGATATAAACATTGTTCGATTTAAAAAGAATAGAAAAAGTATAGAGTATAGGATATAAAAAGCAAATGACAAGAAGTTGTAAGGAAAAAATACTTTTAAAGATCGGAGTAGACAGCTTTTACTACAATTATTATTGTTTAGACATCAAAGACTATAAAAAGTGTTGAAACAATATATTTTCAAGTTAATATTTTTAATTTGTTAAATTACCTATAATATGTGATATAATTATTTGAAATCAAAGACATTTAAAAAGTATTAAAAAACTATATTTTCTAGTTCCTAGTTTAATTTTATTTATTGTCCATTGAATTTTTAATATTAAATTCTTTTATCTTGCTTTTCTTCTTAGCATTTTGTAATTATCTAAAATCAACCTTTATTACTCTCTTATCTTTGCATTTTTCAAGCAACTAAGTAACTTAAATATACACTTGTTTCTTCCAGTGCATGGTCAGTCAATGCTTCAGTTGTCTTATGACGCAGACAATCGAACTTTGACTCTGCGGCAGTGCAGATCTCTGCTTTGTGTAATACAACACAAATTACATTAATTTCATAATCATAATAGCAAGACAAACGAGGAGTGGGGCTAAAATCATTCCAAGTGACTGACCAAGTAGCACATATATCATTGCTGAATGGATCACTTAGCGGCCTTCCGCGGGTACAAAAAAAGTGAACGTGAGCCAAGACAAAGTTGTCACGCTAATCCAAATAAACAAAAAAAAAAGATCTGGCCCTTCCATATCGCGACGAAGACATCTCTGGCAAACGACCTTGAACGGGTTTTCTTTCGGCGACTGGTGGTGTCAATTAATATGGGTCAGCGTTGGAATTACAGGAGGAGATGTACCCACCACAGAAAAAAATGAAATAAAATCACGACATCAAAATCACGAAACACGTACGCCGTAAATTTGCAATAAAACGCATTTCGGGCAATTACTTAACAGTAACAGCAATGTGGCGACTCTAATCAAGCAATGCATCACACGATTTTACAGAAATTCGATTTTGATTTGGAATTTGATTTTGATTTTGATGTTTTTTGTTTTTTTGCCCGATTCTATAATGCCCCTGACATAACATTAGCTACGCTTGCAAGTCAGCCAGCTGTTGCAGTTGCAACTGGTTGTTGCAAGCCCCTGTTAAATCGAGTGTTAAGAGCTCTCCACACTTTAACCCATTTCTAACTGCCATGGAGTTTCTTTTTTTGTTATGAGTAATTAATTACAATTAAAGCAGAAAGCTAAGCTTACTAATTGGTTAGTTACTTAAGATATTTGTGAAATTAATTACTAACTAATTCCAAACAATAAGTCAAGCGGATGATTACTGACTTTAACTGGGGATTATTAAATATTTGAATTTCCATTTCAATAATTGCGGATAAGTGATTTTCTTTGTATTCCTATAGCACAAAAACCTCTTAGTAACTGAATTATAAATTGTACTAAAAATTAAGGAAGGAAACTACCTTGTTTGATATTTGAATCACTTAACTTTGGCATGCTACCACAAATATTTTAAGCTTAACTTGCTTGCCATATATGGCCTCTAATGGGTTAAACTATCAACTATCTCTTTGCTATTTTCACTTTGAATGTCTGCGTTTATCTGTGTATAAGTAGGCCAGTATGCTTTTTCTGCGTTTGAGGGCGATCCACTGACATCCTGCCCCTGTCCCCCGGCTCCGACTTAGTCCCGTCTTAGCTCCAACTCACCGACTCACCGGGATGTTATTGCATTTGCAGCAAATTGCTCGTTTTAGACATGCCAAATTGCATAATGGATATTTGTTTGTGTGATAAATATGCCACGGCTGCTGGCTGCTGGCTGCCACGCCCCTCTGCCTCCAAACCATGCGTGCCCATAGGCAAAAAAATAAAGCAACAAAAATATAAGCAAAACAATAATCCGCCGCTGGCTGTGCACCGCACTCTGGATGATTACTTTCGCTTTCTGCGAACGCGCTCGCAGAGATCACTGCATGCAAAACTACTTCCTGCTAGGTGAGTTTTGATTTCTATGAATGTGGACCACACAAAAATTAGTCGGACCGGGTCCGAAAAGTACACAGAAAGATATGAGTGCTCAGAAGATGGTATAATATATTCATTACGCTAATAATATGCGCACAATAGTTAAAGACTCTGAGAATTAGAATAAAACAAGTAAGAATCTTTGCAAGATTATAAGGATTTCTTTATGCTTAATCATTTAATAAATTCGAGACCTAACAGTCCCTCAATAGATCTTCCTAAGAACTTCTAAAGGCACTTGTCATACTATTAAAATTAATAAAAACCAGCTCAAACGTTTAACTCAATTCAGAAAAGTCAGCAAACGCTCTCATAAGAAATTAAATTATGTAACCAATAATTTCTCCCTGTGTAATAGGATCTGCCATTTGGCCAAATTCGAACAGCTGGCCACTAGACTCTGACTTACTCACAGAAACCCAGACGCCGGGGCAGACCCAATGGCTCACTCAGCACCAACCATGATGTAAAACACGCCAAGTGCTCGTCGTTATGCAGATATGAGAAAAAATATGTATACAAATAAAGCAAAACGATATAGCCAAACGATATACAAAGCCACAAACCAATGCTATCTAATTGGACGGCGGAACATGGCAGGCTGATCAGTCAATTGGTTAAACATGACGGGACATAAATCGGTAGAGTGCTGGACAAATCGTTTAATGATAAAGCCAAATAAGATTGATATGAGATAAGTGTATCATAATTTAAGCTTGGAAAGTATGAATCAAGTATATTTATAGTTTAGTTATGAGGTAGAAATATACTATACTAAGGTAAGTGAGTAAGCTTTGAGTTATCTTTCCCTTAAACGTAATCCCTTGTTGTAATCACTTATTGCAAATGTTATTGCATTATTTTTATTGCATTATAGTGAATGAATAGTTTCTTGTAATGTTGCTAATTAAATATCTGGGGTTGTTAAGTGTAAAATTGGCTATTAGCTAGAGTAGGCCCTTAGTGAATGGTGGAGTGAAAATTTGGTAAGCAGAATAAAGCAGTATTCGCATTCCAGCGGATGAAAATCAAGCCTTGGTAATTTTTAACTACATTTCTTTTTATTTAACCATTTCTAGACTAGCTTTAAAAATCTCCGAAAATATTAAGAAAATCTATACTACCCCAGGTAGCATCCTACTTTCATCTTCCGCAGACTATGTGTTATTTTTTTATAAATTCATGTTCCCTTGAATTTGCATATCCGTGCGACTAAACCAAGTTTTGGATGAACGACTTTGGTACGTGTTATCAATGGAGGGCTTCCTGCTGGCCCACAACTGCCAATCATCAGCTTTTCGACCACGATTTATGTGACCTGAGCCACGCCGATGTCGTTTGCCCAATCGTTGCGGATTACATGACGCCGGCTTGAAAGAGGCTATGGATTTCCTGCGGTACGGTGGCGATTGGGTCGCCATCGATCTCTGCACTTTTAGACACGGCAAACAAAAAAAATTTAATTGAAATTTCCACGCAGATACTTTAGAGACGTGGTCAACTTCGACTCGGTGAGCCTCACCCACTTGGCAGGCTAAGAGCGTCCGCCAAAAGCACCGAATCGCCGATCGCCACCGAATGTTGGATGAATTTTGATGCGTTTGCGATTTGGGTCTTTGATAGGGTCGAGGGACAAGTGCCAAGCAAAAGACTCTATTGTATATTCCATATATATTTCGATATTTGGAGCAACCCCCAAAACCAATAATTGTGCAATGACAAATCAAGCGAGCCTTCTATTTTAGCCATTTGAGTGTTGGCTCTGAGACCGAGCAGACTTGACCTGCTTGGAGAGGTGAAGTGATTAATTAATAAATATTAAGAATATTGAAAGGCTAAATATTATTAACAAGGTTGTGCTCTTAATTTCCAGAAGTAGCTTGACCTAATTTAGTTTTTAAAAAATGTTCCAAAAGGTAGGGGTATTCTAATTTCAGTCAAAAGCTTGGAACGCAGTGAAGGAGTTGATTCCTACCCTATAAATCATATATTTTCTTGATCAGGATGAACAGACTAATAATAAAAACTAGCATAGGACAGCCTTCCGAATTAAAATTAACGGCGTATTTGCTTAGTTATGCAATTTTTAAACTTTGAATTTTTAAATATTTAACTATATTCGTAAATAACAAATATTGGATGCTTATTCATGATCGATTTCCGATTCGAACTTCTCATTTAATTGATTAACTTGCCTTTTAACTGGAAAACGTATCTTTATAAATTTTTAAAATGTTCTCCTCTAAGACACATATGGCGTATACTTAATTTAAGGGGTTTCACGTTAAGTATCCGCCATGTATGCTAGTTTCCCCTTAAATTTTTAAATCCTTAGATTAGAATTTTAGTCGGAAGGTTGTCATTTCCTTTAATAGTTTAGTAGACAGAAAGTTTAAATAGGCAAAAAAATAAGTGCTAATAAAATTCAATTAAATCTTCGTAAAAATCCAAATCAGTTATGGGAATCGCTCAACTATTTCAAAAATATTGCAACTGATATGTAAGTTTTTTTATGAATCATTTAACACAGTTGATAAGGTAATCGCTACCTCAATTTTTGAGACTAGATAAGAACCGATTATTTTGGTATAAATATCAACATTTGTCCACTAAAAATATCAGTGTTCTGTGTGAATTTACCCCGAGAAGTTTCAAGCGTTCAATTCGCAATGCTGCTAACAATCGCCCTGCTGGGCGTGGTTCTGGCCTTGGTTTACAATTTCTACCACAACATCTACACCTATTGGGCACGGAAGGGAGTGCCCTACGAACCTCCACTTCCGGTGATCGGGAACATGAAGGGAATCGGTTCCAAGTTCCATTTCCGGGACATCAACCAGAGAATCTACGATCAGTTCAAGGGAATGGATCCATTTGCTGGAATGTTTTTGTTCTTCAGGCGCGTTGCTATGATCATCGACTTGGATCTCATCAAGCAAGTGCTGATCAAGGACTTCAACTACTTCCAGGACCGGGGTGCTTTCACTAACCCACGAGACGATCCCTTGACGGGACATCTCTTCGCCCTGGAAGGTGAGGAGTGGAAATCAATGCGGACAAAGTTGTCGCCAGTGTTTACATCAGGCAAGATCAAGCACATGTCCGGTGTGATCGTGGAGGTTAGCCACCACCTGGTCGATACCATGGATAAGACGGTGAAAGCTGCCTCAGTGGACGATGGGGATGTGGAGATCAAGGAACTGTGTGCTCGCTTTACAACGGATGTGATTGGATCCTGCGCCTTTGGCCTAGAGTGCAACAGTCTCAAGGATCCGAATGCCGAATTTCGGGCAATGGGACGTGCCATCTTTGAAAGACGTCGTCATCCTCAATTAATTCAAGTTTTTCTTTTCACCAATGCCAAGTTGGCCAGAACTCTGCGGATGAAGGTGATGCCCGATGATCTCACAGAGTTCTTTATGTCCACTGTGAGAAATACCGTCGATTACAGGCAGAAGAATAACATAAAGCGAAACGATTTCATCGACCAATTGATCCAACTGAAGGCCGAGAACGAGGAGGCTGCTAGAAAGGGCAAGGGAATCGACCTTTCACATGGGTTGACCTTGGAGCAAATGGCTGCCCAGGCCTTTGTGTTCTTTGTAGCTGGGTTCGAGACCTCCTCGAGTACGATGTCCTTCTGTCTGTATGAGCTAGCCCTGCAGCAGGATATCCAAGATCGAGTTAGGGAAGAGATTAAAAGTGTCCTCAGCAAGACCGAGGGAGGAGAGATCACTTATGACTCCGTATCCGAAATGACATATCTGGAACAGGTGTTGGCTGGTAAGTGAGATATTATATCTTAGCCAAGGGGAAATCTCTAACAGAATATATTCCTTAGAAACCCTTCGCAAGCACCCCATTGTTCCTCATCTCATAAGGGAGACCGACAGGAACTACAAGGTTCCCAACATGGATGTGGTCATTGAGACGGGCACTCAACTGCTGATTCCCGTTCACAGTATTCACCATGATCCTGAGATATATCCAGAGCCAGAGAAGTTCGATCCGAGTCGTTTTGAGCCTGAGGAAGCGAAGGCCCGCCACCCGATGGCCTATCTGCCCTTCGGGGATGGTCCTCGTAACTGTATTGGCTTGAGGTTTGGAAAGATCCAATCGAAGATTGGTCTGGCCGCTCTGCTTCATAACTTCAAGTTTAGTGTTTCCAAGCGCACGGAAGTTCCCCTGATTTTGAGTAACAAATCTTTTACCCTTTCCACCCAAAATGGCATTCACCTGAAAGTGGAAAGAGTTTAAGGTTTTGTGTGATGTGTTAAATATAAAATTACTCTTTGTTTCTCTCTCTTAATCTCTATCTTTTTGGTATGACTATCTGCCCTTCGAAAAACTTTGTTTTACCGATGTAATATATCTAGAATACTGATATATTAGCTTTATTCTTCGGTCAAGAAGCCAATGATTTTCAAACTGCATATATATATTAAGATATGCAATCAAAATCTTAAACAATAAAGAATAATACATTCGAAATCAAGTTAACAACAAATGTAAGTAAGCTTCATTTCTATTTTTTCAGTGGTTTAAGTTTATTTTTCCATTTGTAAAATACATCTTAAGTTTCTTCATTTATTAAAGACTAATTACCAAATGTATTAGCCAAAACATAAAACAAATTAAGTAATTAATTTTCTATATGCAAATTGGCAACCAATAATTCGTTTAAATTTGATTTTGGGCAATCCCCAAAAGCATTTCGATGACTGGCCAAGGGGCGTAACCGCTGTTTGTGAGTTAGAATTCCTCAGAGTTCCTGGTATGCAAATTAGCTTGCCAAATGAGCTCATCTTTGCCTTCAGCGAATCCCATTCCGATTCTGTGTCTGACTTCGAATTAGATTCCGAATCAGGGTCCAACCTCCTGACTCTGCCAAGATCGACGCCAACTGCGACCGAGACTGCGACTTTGCGCATGCGCAGCGGCTGATTTCGGAGTCGATGGCGATGGGCGCTGATGAAGAACAACCCCGGCCTGAATTAGACGACGCCAGCGAGCATGACAAGGTCGGCACTTAAAGGTGTCGCCAATTATGCGCCACCCAACTCCCTCCCACTCCCCCATCATCATAATCATCATTGACCTGGGTTTCCCCATCTTTTCAAAAACCTCTTTTTCGAGCTGTTTACGAAAACTGGCTCAAATTAACGCTTGAGTTAAAAAATAAAAACCTAATGCACTCGTGGGCAGCTTTGTGTCCGTTAAATTTGAATTTCACACAGCTTAGCGCGGTCAGCAAGGCGTAAAGAAAAACTCTCCAAGCGCCAAACTTTGAAAAACTCCAACTTGGATTCTTAGATTTCTGGGATTCTTGGCCTGGGTTTTTGGTTCTGATTCGATTGCTCCACTAATTCCCGGCTTCTAGCCAAGAGTTCTGTCTCTAATTGCATCAAGAGAAACACATAACACACAAGCAATAATCACGCGAAGCTGATGAATGTACTTTTAGGGGTATATGAGCTATATGACTATGAATGTATGGATTTAGAATCATTAAAAAATACAACAAATATACTTAAAGAGTGTTGCTTTTATACTCTTATAAATCTCTTTTTTATTTGAGTTTTTATTTCCGTTGCGGAAATAAAATATTTAACTGCGGCATTTCTATGTTCTCCAAAATGTGAAAATGTTAATAAACAAAACCATCAACTTTTTAATATTCGGAATGCAAACAATAAATAAAAAGAAAACGGTATTAAAAAGCACGGATGGAGTCATATATTCAAAAACAAATAGAACTCTAAACATAAGAGTTTTCGTATTTATAAATTATTTCTAATCTTTAAAATTTACTTAAATAAAATCTTTATATACAATCTTTATTATCTTTTGAAAATTTAAAAAAAGGGTATTCTGATATTTTCCCTTATCTCATTTCTCTGTTACAATTTCGTTTCAAACAATTTTCGAGAGTCATTGCCAGCTATCAGGAAAAATCGGGTGAACCTCCCAAGTAGCTTTTTTTCGCTCCTCGGAAGCCCCTACCTCCTCGCTCCTCTGTACCTCCCCCGCCGCTGTCTCAAGTGGGCGCAGCGTGGGGCACTGCTAATGATGATAATGATGATGACGATCTCTGCAGAGCCAAGCTCCAGCGACTCCCAGCAGCACCTCACACCCGCGCCCTAAACACCTAACGCCTGGCAATGGCTCACCTGAGCTACCATCTAAATAAACAACAACTATATTACACTTGGACAAAAAAATGGAAATACATTGGTAAAAAATTAGCATGGGAATTTTTAAGTTTTAAGATGTCTTAATGCCCACCTATTAAAAAATATTTATGTATATAAATATATATAGATTGAGATGAACATGTCTTGGTATTAATATAATTTAATTTTGAATAATTTCAGTAAATAATATTTAAATGTAGGTTTATATATTACAAAAATTGATTAAAAATGGAGTTCATTTGTTTCGTTTATTAATTCTTGGACACAAAAACCTATACATTTTCTATGCATACTTTTTAATTTTTGTAAATTACTTCTCTCAGTGCAGCAAATACAACAATTTAGGAAGAGAGAGATGCTTACCTGTCGCTGCTCGCTGCCACTGCCTCTGCCCGCGGCCTCTGCCGCAGCACTGTCGCGTCTGCGCCGCTTTCTGCTCTTCCGATGAGTTTCGAATACAACTAAATCAGAATTTTTATTCAGTTTCAATTGTTTAGCGAGTGCGGATCGGCGTCGAGTGTGCGACGCAGCCAAACCGAACGAGACGAGCCCCAAAAAACAACAAATATAAAATAAAATCAAATGAAATAAAATATAAATACAAAACCGAAACTGAGCTAAAAACAAGAAACTAAAAAAGTAGAAGAGTTACAACGTAAAAGTTAATTGAAATTAGGTGTGTGAGAGAGTGGTGATTTCTGGCTTTCTTGTCATTAGCCGAAATTGCGATTCGCAAAAGTGTCAAAGCGCAACGAACTACCGTTATATTCGCTACATTTCCCAGCTTAATTTCCCTGCCCTGAATTTTTCCCCCGCTACCAAACTACCAAAAGAAGAAAGTCTGAAAATTATTTCATTTTTCTGTCAAGAATTGTTCTTTCCTCTTTTAATTAATTATCAAGATTTTTTCCCAAGTTTGTTTGAAAAAAAAAAAAAAAAACCATAAGCTATTATTGTTTAATTTTTTTGTTGGTTATTTTTTGTTACCTTCTGGTATTAGTATGACAAATGCTGAATTTACGCATTGATGAGCACTTTGTCATTCGCGTTTTTAATTATCGGACAACTCCAAAAACTTTTGGTCGAAAGGTCACAGGCACCTTCTCTACTCTTCTCTTCTCTCTCTGTGTGTGTGTGCAGTGAACTCTGACGTCATCGTCTATAAGAAGGTTCAGTTCCGTACGCTTGGTTGGTCGGTCAGGTTATTGACTCTCTCCTTCTCTGTTCCACTCACAGTTACACCCATAATTATGTAGACTCCGGGACGGCTTCTTCCGCAACCGCAGAATCTTCGCAGAAAGCGAGCCCATAAATATAAAAGCTGATCTTGGCTCATTTTTAATGATCTGCATATTTTGGCAACATAATTAACGGTGAAAAGAATGTGAAAAGTAGCGAATCGTAACGCGAAAGCTGGAAATAAGAAAAGAAAGAAAAGAAACAGACACACACGCGACTCCGAAGAAAGGCGGAAGAAAGAAAGAAGAAGGTTTCTACGCGCCTCGAGCTGATCGCCGGCTCTCAGTTCGCAATCTCTTGTCCATCCCGTCGGTGCCTCGAGCAAATCTTCGGGCATTTGTTTAAAAAAATCCAGTGAAACCGCCGATAATGTGCCACGGAAGTGCCTCAAAAAAAGCGAGTTAAGTGAGTTAAGCTAAATCTTAAAAGAAAGCATCAGTTTTCGCTATCGGTTATCGAGAAGTGAGAAATGATCACGATTGGCGATAATATTCGCGGGCAACGGATGCTGCGCCTTCTGCTCGCATTTCACCTGATCGGTCTTTGGTATTCCCCCACAACGGCTCTGACAGTCGACAATCAATTGGTCTCCGCACGCAATGGTAAGTGAAAGATAATGGGAAGCTGCAGGGAGCTCTATATAATCATTATAAAATCTATGGGAAGATCAGTAAACCTTTAGTGTGGGTTATAGTGTAGGTAGATCCCTTGAGGTCCAATACCTATAAAAGTAAAAACGACCCCATTTTGATTCATTCCAATTATTTAAATTGCAGTAAATTCGCATAAGGATGTATAAAGATAAAGATAAAGATAATTGTGCAGAAAAATTACCAATTTTGTTCCTAAAATTATATTAAATTATAAACGTTCTGACACATACATATGTTATTATGTTGCTAAAAAAACGTAAATCAAAACATTCAGGCCATTATTCAATTACAGCTCTATAACAAGTTCTTTTTTTTATACAAATTTAAATTTGTTAAAGCAAGCCCTATAATATTACTAATTATGCTTTGTATATGCTTAATTTCTCAATTTTTTCCTAATATCATAAACGAGATTTCCATAATTCGAATTTATATACATTTAATATGTCAATTAAAAACATTTAAATTCATCAACAATTGATCGTTAATTTAATTTTATGGCATTTTGCAAGAACTTTACTTTTATAAACTTTATTATGCGAATGGGAAAATCTGTTGATAATAAAAAAATGTTTCTCTTTGTAATTAAGTATTTTAAGGTAGTTTTAAATTGAAAAGTATGTGCTTGCATAGCTAATTTAAGATATTGACTTCATTTTCCTCTGATTTAAGAATTAAATCTTTGTGAAATCTGGCTTTCTTAGATAAAAAAGAAAGCATATTGAAGAGTTTAGATATTAAAGATTTTAACATTAAATTCGTCTTATTATACATTTTAATTTTTTTAAATACAAATCTTCAATAAAGAATATAAATCAATATAAAGTCATCTTAATAAAATGTTATACTATTTAATGGTATTATAGATTATAACATATATGTTCTTCTATTTATTTTTGTAATAAAACAATATTTGTTCTTAGTAAACTTGATTGAAATAGATGCTCTTTTTTTTAATTGCCAGAACTTACCATAATATATATTAAACAACAAATTTTTTGCTCTAAACCTTGACCTGCTCTTACAAAAATGTAAATTATATTAAAGAACATGACACCCCTTGTTCAAGTATAAACAAAAAAATATGTTAATATTCTTTTTGAAAGGTCATTAATCACATTTTTCATCAAAACGCATACCTGGTGTTATTTGTTAAATATTAATTAAACTAGAGTAATTAACATGACATAGGAAATATTCTAAATGAGGTAATTTCTTGGAAAATATTATTCCCATCTAATAACCATGGGCTGGGGGCAATCCATCAAGCATGGCCAATGGTGTTTTGTCCGAAGCTTGACCTTTTTGAATTATTCATGCACTGACAAAAAAAAATAAGAAGACAAGAGAGAACTCTATGGTCGCCTATGGGTTAATGCCTCACAACTGGCATCACGCAAAGTTAATAAAATTCAAATTCGAATGGAGAACAAAGCCGGCTAACAATTGGACAACAGAGACAATTGCAGAGTCAATAAAACTAACCTACCGTAGAGTGGAGTGGACGAAGTGGAGCACCACTGGCCGGAGGTGGCCTTGAAAGTGCAAGTGCGGTGACGCAATGCCATAGTTGGGACGCTGGGGAACTGGGTGGGAGGGAAGTGGATACATTGCATTCATTGCCCAACTGTCAGGTGAACCTTTTGTAATACCCCCAATCTCTACATCTCCACATCGACAGACTGCTTCGAGCGGATCGCATTGGAGGCGATGCTGCCATTTGAGAAGACCTTCCGCACCGAAGACACCAACTCGCTGAAGATGTGCAAGGAGAAGTGCCTGCAGGCGGGCGAGAAGTGTCAGGCGATCTCGTTCGGGTGAGTCTCCTCCAAGCCTGTCAGTTGGCCAATTAATTGCCCAATTTCCCTTCCAACTGTATGTATCTTTTCGGTAATTTTTTGTTATTGTATTTTCTTGTGTGTGTGTGTTTTTTTGCAGTGTTCATCGACGCGGAAACGGCACTTGTCAGTTGTCATCGGAACAGTACGGCTCCGGGGGCGGAGGTCGGCCGGGGGGTGTGATTTTCGATCCCGACTTTGATCTGTACACGCGCAAGACGAACTGCTTCGATTTGAGCGACAATTCGATTGGCCCCGGCCTCCAGCCCGTCCCGGGTCCCAGTCCCATCTCGCCGGGACCGACGCCCGTGGATTTGCCCAACCGACCGCTGGACGTGGGCAATACCCCCGTGCTGGTGGTGAATCCCACTCCACATACGGATGGTGGTGCACCGCCGCCTCCGCCGCCACTCTCCTCGCTGGGACCAGCTCCTGGGTTGGGAGATCGCCTGTACTTCTCCCACGATCTATATCCGCTGTACAAGTATCCCACTCTCTACGAGAACAACTATCCGTCGCCCAATGAAGATGTCTACATTCCCGGGGGTTATGCTGCCAATGCTCCCGAGGTGGATGAACGCTATCGTCCACATTATGGCCCAGTGGATCATGCGGAGGATGAAGGCCCAAGACCCACGCCACATGGTCCGCCTAGACCCATCTTTGGGTTGGGTTATGGCAATGGCTATAGCTATGGCTCACCGGAGAGATATACACCACCGCCAACGATGAGACCTTCGAGCGGTTCTTCGGAAGAACGACCCAGCTATGCAGCCAGGCCGCCACCCAGACCTACTGCTGATCGTCCAGATTATCCGCCAGGGCCGCCGCCGCCACCACGTCCCTATGACAGCTCCACGCCGCCTTCATACGGACCACGACCCAGTCCCAGCTATGATGGGCCGCGTCCCAGTCCCAGCTATGATGGACCGCGTCCCAGTCCCAGCTATGATGGTCATCGAGAGCCACGTCCAGACTACACCAATCGTCCGGACCCGCCGCCACATCAACCCCATGATGGTTATGGAATGAATGGACCCTCGGCCAGACCTTCTCCTCCTCCCTATGAAGCTCCTCCGCCGCCAAGAGATGAATATATTCGAAGGAATGGCAGTGCCATGCGTCCAGCAGATGGTTATGGAGGCTATGATGATGACAAGACTATAGCCACCTATTTTAATCCAGATGATTTTAGTAAGTCGACAATGTAGTTAATAATAAAAAGATATATTTTAAAATTAAATATTCTTTTAATATTACAGAACGACCCATGCCCGGTGACAGAGATCGAGATAGAGATCGGGATCGCGATCGCGATCGTCTAGGCTATCCCATGGATGAACTTAAGGGTGAGTTGATATAAGGATCTTTCTATCCCCCAAAACCCCTCTATATCCACTAACTCATGGATTCGCGCTCTCCCAAGTCCCCAGTTAAATCATTATAACCCCATAGAGAGGCTGAGGCTAACCATACATAAACTATGACTATGACACGGGTCACTTGAGGGTTGCAACAAATGGCAACCACCACAATGACACTAAAATTTAGAATTAAGCTGGCGGCGCGCACAACTAAAACTCATTAGCTTTTGGGTCGACGCCAACTGACAGATGACAGCCGCTCTCGATTGACCCACATTCGTTGGCTTTTATTTGCGTAACAAAACTAAACCCATTAGCCTGGCATAATGCTCATCGGATCTGGTTTTTGGAAGCGTGATGGGAATGGTGGGGCATGGGGGTGAGTGGGGCGGTGGTGCATTATTCACATTCGCATTTAAACACTCGACACACAGCGCCAAAAGCTCAGAGCAACTAACCCACCCACCAAAAAACGGTATAATAAATAATGTTGCGGCCAAATGTTTTGATAAATGGCCAAAAGCGGGGTTCCACAATGAGTTGAAAAATTGGGGCTATTTGGTTAAGGAGTTCTAAAAGGTTTTTTAGTGCAGTAAATTATTAATTGAAATGTATTTAAAATGTAATTATTTAACAGAAAACAACACCTTTTTAAGAAGTATAAAGTAGCAAAGAGTATAGGCAGGTTTTCGTAGAAATTTTCTGTTTAGCTCCCTTAAAATATAGTGAGTTATTTACATATAAATTTTGTGTTAATTATCCTTAGTTAAATCTTTTCTTTCATTCAAGTTGCTGCATGTTATAGGAAATTGTAGGAAACCTAATAATTTGTGTATATAAACCCCTTTAAGGTTATCTTTCTGGCTTCTTTAAGTACATGATCTCATTATTCTTTACAAAAGAAATTGGGTTGTCAAGTGCACAAGATTTATGGCAATTCTAAATAAAAATTCGCCAACCGAGATCATCAAAGAACAATTTGTTGTGTTTTGATTTCGATGTGACTTCCTTTCGGCTTCGCCAAGTGTGACGGCTTGTGGAGTACATGAACCCAGCGGGTGGCGGTGACATAAGCCTATGCTTTGCCCTATACTACATTATAAAACATACTATATCTACCAAGAGAATCCAAGTTCAAATGCCAAAAACTTGATGACGTTGCCTCAATTAATTGTCTGTTTGTTTTTTTCTGAGGTGGCGTGTTCGCTAGTTAGTTAGTTAGCTTGCTTTTATTTGGCGTGGGACAGATCGTAATTTACACTGCGAGATTGGGCTGCTTGGATTCACTTGGAGGCGGAAGCGATCTTGGCGAGCACAGGTCTAATATATGTATATTCTATGGTTTTTTTTGGCTGTTCTATGAGGTTGTGCAAGATCGGAATAGAACGGAGTTCAGAGAACGGAATGGAACTGCACTTGGCATGCAAGCTCCTCTGGCGCTGGAGCATTGTATGCAAATACGAACATGTAGCCGCTGCACAAAAACTTGAAAACCACCCACATTTTGTGGTTTGGAGTTCGAGTCTGACGCCTGACAGCAGTGACATTGGCTCGGAAACGGAAATGCAGCTTGTTGGGGAGCCAAGAACGAGTTGGGGGCTGCAGAGTGACCGAAATGATCGATGTACTGATATCTGTGGTCAGGCTTGATTGGGAAATGCTAGGAAAATTACTTAAAAAATTAAGTTGAAAGCGAAAACTTTAACTTTAAGACAAAAGACTTAGGCGAGCAACTTGAAAGGACAAAAAAAGACTTAGGCAACGAACTTGAAATGGATCTAAGGGTTTTTGAAGTTGTAAATTGATTAAATTATTTCTTTAGCTAATATTTATAATTTGGAGAATGATTAGAAATTTATATACATGTCTTAATGGATTTTTGAGAAATATGTAAAAAAGTATATGGGTTCTTAAACTCTTAGAAACTATAAGAGTTCTTGTAAGACCCTTGTTTTTTTCTTTAATGATATCTATACCCGTGAAATCTCTAAGAATTAAATACACCGATAAAGCTCCTTAACTAATTCGATTAAAAATTGCTATTTAAATCCCTTATTAATCATAACAATCAACTAAAAATATTGCTTTACCCACATTGAGTGTTTTTATTTGCCTTAAACCGACTCGTGGCAATTAAACGCAGCAAAAATAGTTCACAAAACTTAAAATCTAGATCAACCCTGATCTGGAAACCCAAATATATACAAAATTCAGCTATTAATCCACTTTATGATTTACTATCTTAGTTAGTAGCCCCTTCTAGTACCTCATTAAGTCTGCTCTTATTGAAATGAAATAATAAGCGTGTCATATCGCATTGCGGCATCCTTGAGCGAGGTCTGGCAACGCTTGGCTGACTCCACATCTCAGCATCGCATCTCCCCTAGTGATCTGTACCCTCGTATTTTCATCTGAATCATCGGCCCAAGATAGGCATCTTCCACCGAAAAACCAGTAAAAAAAACAACTATACAACAGCCACTCATTATACCAGAGGCCCAAGGCTTCTCTCCGGTGGAGCAGAGTCGGAAAAAGAATCCACCAAAGTGGGAGTTTTCCGAGAGTCAGAGCGTCAAAGCTCTCGGCTTGAGGGGCTCAGAAGCGTAAAAGCTCGAAAAATACGCGCAATTTTCTAATGCCGTATATAAAACCGCAAGCTTGACCAAAGCCGCTGTTCATTCGCGATTAGAATCGCCACCGCGGCGCGTCGCAAAAACCGAGAATCCAAAAACAATTTCAAATTCAAACGTCCGGAAATTGTGCTCTCGCATTCGTGTCCTGTGTGCAAGCGAGATGGCCTGGTCGACCATTGTTCCAAGCGCTTTGACATTGCACACAGAAATTAATTAGCCCAGAACGCAAATTTAGCAATTACGTAATCAAACCGCGTAATCACCATATAAATATAACAATATAAAGAACTCCCAAAAAAATGCGTTCTCTTTGTCATATAGTTTTGTCAGTGCTTCTGCTTTTTGGTCGCCTCAATGACAACGAATCGAAATTCGTTAGTCCTACACGACACACCGATCTCAGCAGCACCATTATCATTGTGGAGGATGCCAAGGGTAAGGTGTAGATAAATGGTCTATAGGTCATTCCACTTCTCGACCTGTGTCTTAAAGTCCATTTCGGAGTGCGTATTAAATGTAATTTGCATAATTTCCATCTGCCATCTGCGTGAAAAACGGCGTTGTCTCTTGCTGGCAATTTTCCCGGAGATAATCTCTGATGGACGTACAAGTACGAGTGGTAGTACACGGCAGCCAACATGACTCGAACATAATTTACTCAAAACGGCAGCGGATGTGCCGCAAAAACACATAGAAGCATTCGAAAAGATATTCGACCCGTAACAGAAACAGAAACTGAGACTGAGACTGAGACATAAATGCACTTGGAGAAAAGTGTCAGCTCTTTTGGGTAAATTATTTTAATTTTCACATTCTTGTAGGAAAGTGAGAAATTAAAAACAGTTTTTAAAACAATTTTCCTGAGAAAGTTATGAGTTATTCTTTGTTTGTATAAAGAAAACAAGCTAGGGAATTCTCAAACAACTATTCTTAGACTGCTTTTTTTAAAGTTTATTATTGTTTTCTGAAATTCTTAGCCAAACATTACTTATTTAGCTCATTGGGTTTAAATTTAAATGCTTAAATTATCTAAATAATAATGATTTAAAGTTATAGTTTTGATATTTAAAGTATAGAGGTAAATATAACAGCAACTCCTTTGCCAGAGTTTTAAATTCCAAGTGGCTTTTCGGCAGCCCAAGCCTTCGACCTTGTAAATCACTTCCAGGATTAAAATTCATTTTAGCTTTAAAATATAATCAAAAATTTATCAACCTAAAAAAAAGGGATGAAAAGGATATGTCCTTAGCTTAATCTCACCTTTTCCATTGCTAACTCTTTATTGTTTTAAAGTCAAAGCCCATAAACATAGAAAAACATTAGGATAATAATTACCTGGTGTGTTTGAGGCTTTTCTCTCTCAAAAGAACGAGCTTACTTAAAAAGAGCAAAGTAAATTTGTATTTAATTTAATTCCTTTCCTTTTCAACTGCAACATACTTGCTTTTTTCCAAGTGCTGGCTGTATGAAGCAACCCAGCCCCGATCTTGGGTTCTGTCCTCGCTTCACTGACTCCCAAACAGCAACGTTGAATGCCTGATCTTTTTCCGCTTCTCCATATATATATTTTTTTGTGTATTGTTTGCCCTCCATTGCGTAAGAGGTAGCATCTGCAACTGGCACACTGCAACGTCAAACCGATCTCCTTTTTCAGCCTGCTTCCGGCGTGTCCTGGCCGGCAAACGGATAGCACCACATTGGGTGCGTCGCTCCATATCCTGCGAACGGGTGGAGGAGTGCATGCGGGAATGTGGTCGGGAGAGGCGCTTTATGTGCGAAGGATTCAACTACCGACTGGATCCGTCGGGTCATGGTCAGGGGGATTGCGAGCTGGTGGAGATGCCACTGGCCCAGATGGACCTGTACTCCAGTCCAGATCGGCGGGATGCCAATCTGCTAAGGCATCCAGACTACGATTACTATGAGAGGGATCGCAATGCACCCAGCAGTTGTAGGCGAAGTGCTTGCCAGGATTGCTCCAAGGGTCCAGTGAGCAGTCAGCCGGTGTACTTTAAGCCCAGCGGTGGCGGTGGAGGATATGGTGATCGTGACAGGGACCGAGACAGGGATCACTATCGTCCGCCCAGCAGCACGGCTGTGGATCATTATCGTGGTCCTTCGGGCCCACCATCGAGTGGCTCCTATGAGCACCGACCGCCCTTCTCCTCAGAGTACCATGGCTCCCACAGTTCATCCTCCTCAGTGTCCTCATATGAGTTCTCCTCTCATGGCTCTGGCTCCAGTTCAGGCTCCAGTTCCGGTTACTTTGGACACACGCCTCCAAGCAGTTATGGCGGTGGTGAGCACCCCTATGTGGATCGTCATGATCCGCCGCGATATAGACCTGGTGGTATAGGCTCCCGACCGGATCGCTGGGAAACACTACCAAGCAGCTCTGGTTACGACAGCTCAGCTTATAGGCCACCACGTCCAGAAACGGATCGTATTGACAAGTATCGACCACCTTATCGTCCTGGCTCGGATTTCTCACCTTACCGACCGCCAAGTCGTCCTTCGCACAATTACCTCGACCGAGACGGAGGCGGTCCACCAGGACCACCACCTCCGCCAGGATCATACAAGAAGTCCAACAAATTTGTGCCTTACCTCATTGGCGGCGAGGACAATTGGGGTCACTATGGTGGTAACTACGGTGGCAGCAGCAAGCACTCTTCGTCGTCCTCCTCCTCATACTGGGGACTAACGGAGTCGCAGAGACGGAAAGATCATCAGGATTTTAATTACTTCCAATTGGGGGCACCACATCGCGAGTCGAACTCAGTGCTGAGCTATCCGGGCTCCAGTTATGAGGATGATTATCCCCGCAGGCGCAATGATTACCGGCAACAGTGGACGCGACGACCAGGACAGGATGGTAAGTAGTTCAAATTTGAGCTCTTGAAAACTCTTTTCTTAATTAAAAATCTTTGACAGAGTGCTCGGCCAAGACCAGCGAGGGCTTCCGGCTGCACAAGACAGCCGTGAAGCATGCCTTCAATGTGCCCACTCTGACCGAGTGCGAGAGGCTGTGCTCTGACCAGAGGCCCAGCTTTATTTGCCACACCTTTAGCTATCGTTACAACCAGGCGGGCAGGGACAATTGCATGTTGTGCGACAGACCCATCAATATGTTGGATTACTATGTGGACATTGAGCCGGATAGGGACTATGATATATACTCCATGGCGGATGATATGGATGTGTGCCGGCAGCCACCGCGACGACATGACACTGCTGGTCCAAGTACAGCTCTCTCTGATCCCAGAAATGCTCGTAAGTAAAAAGATTTTATATTTGAAGTATGGAGTAACTTTACTTATATATAAATCATTGTTATAGAATGCTTCTTCCGTGCTATTGATGCCACAAGGTTCTTCAAGTCCATTGTACGCGACTCTTTGACTGTTCGCTCTGTGGGAGAGTGCGAGATGGAGTGTATCCGTTCTACCAAGTTCACCTGCCGTGCCTTTGCCTTCCGTTATGGACAGCAGCGGCATGCGGGAGTCATTGATAATTGCCAGCTGAGTGATTGGCCAGTAAGGGATATGGACAAGGAGCGTCATCTGATTCTGGATGCGGCTTTCGACATCTTTGAGCGGGCCAGCTATGGTCATGGCTGTGAGATTCAGCCCATTGTGGATGAGAAGCACAAGAAACGTAAGTAACTAAAATCTAGGAATATATATATGTACTAACAGAAGACTTAAATCCATGTTAGTTTGCTATTTGGGCTATGGCTCACCGGCTCGACTGTTACCACCAGCCATCAAGAAGGTGATATCGGTGCCCTCAGAGATGGCCTGCAAAAAGGAATGTATACGCTTCAGGGAGACGACACCCTTCAAGTGCTTTGCCTTTAGTTATGGGTGAGTGGAAATCAACACAGATTCCTCTAATACTTTATTTAAATTCACACTTTATTTAGATCCCATGCCAGCTCTTTCAACTGCGAACTCTCAGACCTCGATCAGACCGAACTGAAGCAGGATGTGCATTATACGCACACCAAGGAGCGTGATTTCTGGCTATTTGCCTGGAATCCCTTCGACTGGACCTGTCGGGATAAGGTCAACACCATCGGTGGTTCACGGGTGAACAACGATCGGCGAATGGATATCTTCCGGGAACCGGGTAAACTCAGTCTACTAACCTGTTGCACTTCGGTACCAGTGTAAATAACCCAAAAGGATCCTCTGACTGGGCCTGGTAGATTAGTCGATAGTTTCTGTATTATTAGATATAGTATATGTAAATTAGTTTGTAGCGGAGAATGTTTTGTGTGTAAATAACGTTTACTAAGCATGTACAGTCCCAGCAAATAACCGAAAGACGAATCCCTCCCCAAAAAATGCGCTACTAACTATGAGAATTGCATGCCACCGTTTCCGTTTCCGTTTACGTTACTGTTTCCCAACTCACCATACCCTCCCTGCTCATGACCACACTAAAACCGCTTCTTGTTCGCTAAAGGCGATGTGGCCTGGCGCCATTATACCGTTTCCGGCAAACCCTGCCGCCGGAGTAGCCCCTGCGAGAAGAACCTGGTCACGGGCTTCTATTCCTGCGAGACGGATGCCTCCGAGGTGGGTTCCTGGGACTATTGCTGCAAGGCGGATCATCCGTGTGGCTACAGTAAGGGCTTTGACTATCCTTGGTAAGTTATAATCCTAAATCTGGAAAGAAATCTCTATTAAGGGTTTATGTTCCTCTTCCTACAGGTGCTTTGTGGGCGATGAGTTTGATCAGTGGCGTAAGTGTAGCGATCGGTATTTCCCTGGAAAGAATTCCACTCAGGTGACACACTCTCACTTTGGCCTGCCCAGTGCCAAGGAGAAGCAGAAGCATCCACATTCGTCGCATCCCTCGCAGCAGGCCACAGCGGCCAGCAGTGAGTATAGCCAGCATCCGCCGCGTCCTGGAGGACTCCAGAGCCTTAGCGACTTTGCCGCCGCCCGGCTGTGGCCCGTGACCTACCTGTACAGTGAGGGCCCGCCCAATGCCACCGAGTTCAGCAACTTTGTCGACTGCAACAAGGAGTCGTGCTAATTGTAGTTGCTCTTTAATGTTAAGACATAAATATATATAGATGTACAATAGAAGCTCCCCCCAATGAAATCCCCGTTGTACTCCGAGCCGCGTCGACGTTGTCGTTGCTGTGATCATCATTGAGATTTGGATACCATTGTCGTCAGCATCAGAAGCGAGACCAATTAACTTATTAACTCAACTTCTCCCGAATGTTGAATGCAACCTTAATGACCGCTTGCGTGCAGGCATTCTTTGTACCTATAAGCTGAATTGTATGTATTATTAATAAAATTAGGTATTATGAAAAAAACTACACAAATTTTAACAAGTTTTTAGCTTAATTCAGAATTAGATTAAATCAGCTTTTGGGTTACTAATAGGGGAACTATTAGTAAAGCAGTTAAGTGTATGGGGATTATTTTGTATATAAAACACTAAAGGCATTTTATTTTAAATAAAGATTTTGCTTAGATTTGTTTCTTTATATTATTGAAATTTGTATTTTTTAGCTTAAATTGTTCTCTTTTGTAAATTCAACAGATTGTAAGGAAAATCACAGTTTTAAACTTACATAAATATGGGCAATTCTCCGGTGTCGAATGCGACATTCGTACGCATTCAAACTAAAAAAACACATGTGCCAAGACTTTATTTTAATTTTATAACAATTGAAACGAATAGCTCTTGGTTAGCACTATAATTGGTGCTAAGGTCAATTTTGAACCCTTGTTTGTTTTCAAGATATTCACTAAAATGTACTGCGTTCGCACGCGACAAAAATAGAAGTTACATTTGCAAAAAACCAGTTTAAGCTCGGATTTCAGCGAAACGTGATGAAAAATTGTAGTTCAATACATTTTAATGAATTACGCAATGAATTCTCTTAATAATGTATTTTGTTTGATTTTAAAATATTAAGTAGTTATTTTTTAAATTCAATTTTAGTCCCGGTCGCACGCGACATGTCACACGCGACAGTTTGGAAAGCGATAATTCAAACTAAAACTGTACGAATATTGGTGATCGCATATGTCCTTTTGCACTTAATATTGACTTTTTGGTTTTTTATGTCATATTAGAAACCAAAAGTCGAAGCAAAATGCTTCGGTTTAAGAGATTGGCATCAAAACAAAACATGCCATTTTGTATTCCTTTTTTTTGATAAAAACAACATTTTTTGCGTTTGCGCGTGTTTGACATCGATTTTTTTGAAACTTATTTTAGAAAATGAACAATTCTCTTAGTCTTGATCATCCTGACCAATTTTTTATGTAATCATGTTAAAAATACTCGTTTTTAAGCAATTTTAAGTTTTTGGCCGCGGTAGACCTTTCTGGAGAATTGCCCATATATGAATCAAAAGTACTAAATTTAGAAAATTACAAAATACATATAGTTACACCCAATTTATTTCTGGAAATACATAATCCAGCATATTGTTGGTGTTACTTCAATATTTAAACAGTCCAATTATGGTAAAATTAATTCACAAGTCGACGCCAAAGCTCTCAATATGTTACGTATGGCAAAAAGTAAATTCAAACTTTTGTTTCCCGCCTATTAATGCTTGCTAGAGATGGTACTGGAAAGCTTTTCTGCCCTGTCAAGAGAGGGCATGCAGTATTGGTTATCGATGTTCTGTAGCAATGAGCTTTTATTGCCAACATTTAAGCTAAGAATTAAAATATTTTATTATTATATTCTTTAAATAACTCAGAGAACATGCTTAAAAACAAGCTCACAGTTATATTTAAAATTTTTGCTAAAGTATTTATAATAATAATTTAATGATGGTTTATGACAACTTAACCAAGTTCTGGGCTTAAAATTTAACATTTAATATTGAATGGTAAATGAAAATTATTAAAAATAAAGGAAACCGAAGAATGTATACCCTTTCGGTTTGGAATTCTACCATAAAATTTAATTGGAAATTAAGTTTAAAAATTTAAAAAATTTTAAATGTTGCCAATTTTTTACATTTTTGACTAGTAACCTCTTAAAAAATTTTCAAAATTTGAAAATATTAAATTTTGACCGGACATAGCTAGAACGATTCGGCTATTGATGCTGATGAATATATATGATTTATAAGGTCTGAAATGCTTCCTTTCGGCGTTAGAAGCTTCTGACGAAAAAATTAACACCCAGCAAAAGTAGGATAAATCTAGCGTACATGGCGTATACTTAACGTGAAATGCCTTAAATTAAGTATACGCCAGGTGTGTCAAATTCATAACGATAAGTAGTTCCAGTTAATAAACAAGTTTAGCAAATATAATTTAAAATCAAATCGGAAATCAATCAAAAATAAGTTTTTTTAAAAATCAAATTTATAAAGATTGAATGAAATGTGGCAATTTTTTCGACAAAATCAAAGTTTAAAAAAATCTTAGCTCAGACAAAAATCCATTAGTTTTAATTCAAAAAGCTGTCCTGTGCTAGTTTTTATTAGGCTAACAAATCTGCATATTAGGTTTAAAAATTTTACAAAATTAAAAATTTTTCCAATTTTTTAGAATTTTGACGATGTAACCACTTATAAAATTTCAAAGTTTTTTTAAAAAATTGATTTCAACCGGACATTGCTAGTAAGATTCATCTGTTAATGCTGATCAAGAATATATATGGTTTATAGGGTCGAAAATGACTCCTTCAATGCATTTTAAGCTTCTGACTCAAATTCTAATACCCCGCAAAGTGATATATAATATACATAATATATAATATATATAATTATTGAAGTTATTTTCAGTCTTATTATAAAATGTATATACCAAAATTACAAAAATGTACCATTAATAAGGAAAGTTTAAGGTAAAATATTAATATTACTCCAAAAATTCAACTACCTAGACTTTCAGAATTCAATTCTTTCTAATTTTACTTGACATCGCAAGAATAATGTTTTTATAATTATTCCTTTTACAAAATTTAGGTATCATTAAACCTGCAAACCTAATGTTCTTTTCTATTACCATGAACTCTGTTCCATATGGGTTTCTATGAAACTAATTACCAGGGATATCTCAATTACTATAGATATGTGAAAATGATTCAGTGGGTTTTGTCTAGTTCTGCCCTGTTTTTGTTTATTTTGTTTTGATTACTAAGCTTTCCAGAGACATAGACAGCTTTTTTGCCCCATTAGAAATTGTTCTTTGTTGTGTACTTTACACGTACATACATATAAATATATATACAGATAGGCACAAATATATTTAGGAATTAATGCAATCTAGAGCCACAGTTTATCATAGATAAGAATTTTCTTTGTTAGGCATTCCATTGTTGAAAAGTTATAATTATTAAATATATTTTTAGGAAACGGCAACCCTCTCCATCTTGAGGTGGACTCCTTCCTCGGATCCTATCAAGAAAGTGCGTCGAGAAAATCTTATGGGAATTTGAGTACGCTCCGTTCGGCTGAACTTGAAGTCCCTCAAAAGGTAAGTGATTCCCACCTTCACCTGCAATTTCCCAAATCTTTCGCCGATGCAGTTCCGTGGTCCCTCGCCAAAGGGCAGGTAAGCAAAGGGATGACGGGCCTTGATCTCCTCCGGATCAAAGCGACTCGGATCGAACTTCTCGGGGTCCGGATACAGCTCCGGATCGTGGTGAATACTGTGTATGGGTATCATTATCTTGGTGCCCGACTCCAAGGTTAAATTGCTATCGGGAACGGAGTATTCCTTGGTGGATCGTCTCAGCAAGTGCGGTAGTATTGGGTATTTGCGCAACGTCTCGGACACTACTTGCTCCAGATAGGGCATATCCTGGAAGGACTCGTAGTTGAGCTGCGGCACAGATAGGATCTCCTGACGTAGCTTATCCTGGATGTCGGGATTCAGGGCCAGTTCATACAGGCAGAAAGCCATGGTGGTAGAGGAGGTATCAAAGCCAGCCAAGAAGAAGACCATGGCCTGGGCGGCAATCTGCTCGAAGGACAGGGCGCCCTCCTTGGCCCCATCCTCTCCCAGTTCCATGAGCAACTGGATAAGGTCGTTCCGTTTGATGTTCTCCCGCCGCCTGTAGTCCAGAGTTTGCCGCACGGTGTCCAAGAAGAACTCACTAACCTCCGGCCTAAAGAGACGCAGTCCCAGCATCCTGGCCAGTTTTGGCTGTGTGAACATAAAAGCCTGAACCAGGACTCCATGTAGAGGATTTGAGGTCACCGATCTGCCCATGCGCCGGAATTCCGAATCGGGATCTTGAAGGCTATTGCACTCGAGTCCAAAGGCACACGACCCAATGACATCAGTGGTGAAGCGTGCACACAGATCCTTGGCCTCGATCTCACCGATCTGGAGGTGACACGCCTCCGTCAATTTCTCGCCCACTTGAACCATATTGGGGAACATGAACTTCATTTTGCCGGAACTGAAGACCTGCGTCAGGTTCTGACGTAGCCAACGCCACTCGGGTCCATCCAGGAAGAGCAGGTTCCCAGTCAGGGGATCATCCTTAACATTGTGGAAGAGTCCACGGTCGGTAAAGCTGGTAAAGTCACTTATCATTATCTTCCGGATCAGTTCCAGATCCATGACAAACAGAGCCTTGTTCATAAAGGTGAAGTAACTGCAGTAGCGTTCTTTTCCGTGAAACTTGGTGTAGATTCTACTATTGATATCGGTCCAGTGTAGTTCCTTTCCAAAACCTTTCATATTTCCAATGAAATATATGGGTTTTTCGCCAGCCACGCCCCTGCGGCTCCAAAAGGCGTAGTGCCATCGAAGCTTAAAGTAGAGCAGGAAGCCGGCGGTGATCACGAGAAGCAAGAGCGCCGACATGGTGGTCACAAGGCGCTCGACTGGGAACTGATTGTAGGAGAAGAGCTTACTTTGTGGGTTTGTTGGAAAAGCTTTCGCTCTTGGTTCCGTTTCTCTCTTATATTGTGGAGAATGCATTTGTGTATATGGTATATATATAAATGCTATATCTTTATGACGTCATTAGGGGTCATTTGTTTACATAATTTTAAGAACTTTAGCGAGTAGTTATTGCCAGCTGTGTGAGAGTACAGAAATATAGCGATTTATTTATTTAACCAGGAATGAATATAGAATTAAAATAAAATCCTTGGAAAAATATTAAGAGAACACCTTTTTTTTTTCCTGAATTAAAAATAAAAAATAATAGCAATAAAATGATCATAAACATTATCAATTATATGAACAATTTCTTGGCATTTAAATTAAAGAGCAGTTCATTATTTACATTTAAAAATATATATTTTAAGCTTTAAAATATAAAATGAAAGCTTAAAAAAGATTGTTCAAAGATTCTTCTTCTTTAAACCGACAATATAAAATATAGAAGCAAAATTGTAAATAAAATCCACTTCAAATATATAAATCCCTTGCTCAGATCCTTTCCACTTTCAGATGAATGCCATGCTTGGAGGACAAAGTGGGACTGCGAGTACTCAGTTCCAGGGGAATCTCGGTTTTCTTAGAAATGCCAAACTTGAAGTGTCGCAGGAGGGAGACAATACCAATCTTGGCCTGCATTTTACCGAATCTCAAGCCAATGCAATTGCGGGGACCATCACCAAAGGGCAGATATGCAAATGGATGACGAGCCTTGATTTCCTCCGGCTCGAAGCGACTGGGATCGAACTTCTCTGGATCTGGATATAGATCCGGGTCGTGGTGAATGTTGTGTATGGGTATCAGTACTGTAGTTTCCTTTTCAATCATCAAATCTGTGTTCGGAACCTGGTAGCTCTGATTGGCTTCGCGCAGCAATTGGGGAATGATGGGATGCTTACGCAAGGTTTCTGCAGGATAAATTCAGTTAGAGTCAATATAGAGAATTTACTTTGTTTTACTTACCAGCCACCACCTGCTCCAGGTAAGTCATTTCATTCAAGGCATCGTAAGTAATCCCTCCACCTTCAACGTTGCTCAGAACAGTTTCAATCTCCTCCCTCAAACGCTGCTGAATCTCCGGGTGGAGAGCCAGTTCGTAGAGACAAAAGCCTATTGTGCTGGAAGAGGTCTCGAATCCGGCTACAAAGAACACAAAGGACTGGGCAGCCATTTGCTCAAGGGTTAATCCCTTGGAGAGATCGATGCCTTTGCCCTTTTTAGCAGCTTCCTCATCCTCCGCTCGGAGTTCTATCAACTGATCAATGAAATCGTTCCGCTTTACGCCATTCTTGAGCCGATAATCGATTGTGCTCTTTACTGCGCCCATAAAAAACTTGGTGAGCTCATCTGGTAATACTTTCATCCTTAACTTTCTGGCCAACTTGGCATTGGTGAAGATGAACGCCTGGACCAGCATGGAGTGGCGGGGTTTCTCGAAGATCATGCGACCCTTGTTCCGGAACTCTGCATTGGGATCCTTGAGGCTGTAGCATTCCAGGCCAAAGGCACAGGAACCAATCACATCCGTTGTAAATCGAGCACAGAGTTCCTTGACCTCCACATCTCCGTCGTCGACGGAAGCCTCCTTAACGCATTTATCCATGGCATCGACCAGTTGGTGACCCACCTCCACTACCACTCCGGACATCAGCTTCATCTTTCCGGATGTAAACACAGGGGTTAGCTTCTGCCTCATCGATTTCCACTCCTCACCCTCTAGGGTCAAAAGGTGACCAGTCAGGGGATCGTCTCGAATATTGTTAAAGATTCCACGATCTTGGAAGTAATGAAAGTCCTTGATCAGCACCTGCTTGATAAGATCCAGATCGAGAATCATAGCTGTTCGCTTGAAGAACATAAACATTCCCGCGATGGGGGCCTTTCCCTTGAACTTGCCGTAAATCCTCTGGTTAATGTCACGGAAATGGTACTTCATTCCGACTCCTTTCATGTTACCAATTAGCGGAAGAGGAGTCTCATGTGGCACCCCCATCCTGGCCCAATAGGTGTAGGTGTTCTGGTAAAAATTGTAGGCCAAGGCCAGGACCACGCCCAGAAGGGCGAGTGTAAACAGCATGGTCAGCTATGCTTTTGCTATACAGAAGTATATGAATTTCAAGTAAAATACTACAAGTTCTTGATGACTCTACCATTGAGGGATTACTGATCACTTTAATACAGCAATTAAAATGACATTGATAGTGAAACAATCTATAGCTTATACCACTTGATATGGGTACACCTTTTATATTATATATTATATTATATTGCATAAATATTATTCCGGTTCCGAGTTCTTTTCTTGCAAAACGCAAAATGAAAACTAGAAATATTGCTATGGATTCGCGAGATATATACAGCCAAGCAGAAGCTTTTTTGACTATAAAAAAGCTTCCTCTCTATCTTAAGAGAGTGTGTTTTTGACAGAACACAATGATCACAACAAAACTGATAGATTAAAACCAAACACATGAATATTTGCAATTTGCTGAGTAATGCTGAAGAGAGCAAGAAAGTGTCTGTCGTCTGTTTGTTTTTTATGGCCACACACGTAAACCTAAATATAGCTGCAGCAAATTAATGATGGGAGATAACGATATATAGAGTTTTTATTATTGTATTTATTGTAGAACATTTCAGAAAATTTGTATCACCATCAAATGTACATATTGAATATAATAAGGGTGAACACAGAAATATTTCTTCTTACTAGTAAAGCTTTCTATATATGTATTGATTCACTTCGAAAATGACGATCACAACAGAACTGATAAAATACTCACGAGTATTATGCCGGTAAAGTGCTTTAGAACGCTGAAGAGAGCGAGAATTTATCATTATTTATATATTTTTTTATGGCTGAACGCGTAATCTCAACAATAACAGATGTAAATTAACTCTGAACACTTTTAGTACGTAAAACAACATGAGTAGTACTAAAAATTGGTAGACAGTATATGTACACATCATTATAATTAAGTATTCAGAGGGACAGGTTGAGTTATTTCTATAAAGAAAATATTATGAATCTAAAATATAAATCCACGGAGTTTTCTTACTGCCTTACGGAGTCTCGGGTGCTTTCTAAGAAGAGCGCTGCTTTGAAGACATTGTAGCAATAAATCTGATAGAGACACTATATTTAATTCCAAAGAATTATTTCATTATAATAATCCTCATTTTATTATTCTCTTGTAGATTATATTCTAGTAATATTTAAGCAATCTTTAAAATTACTTTATAACAGAAAAAGTCCTGTGAAAACCTAATCTATCTTCCATTGTCTTTGTTTCCATTTATTAAAATCTTACCAGGTAAGCACTTGCATCCTCTTGATGACACCTTTTCCATTGACTCCTGTTTGTCCTTTTTAATTGAAATGCGAGAAAGCGAGTGTGCAAACAGGAAACGAGGATGCCTGTTGACAGAGTGCCAATGATTTGCTAGACGACTTTGCCCCTTGGCCTAGCCTTTGAATCTCGTCTTTAATTATGCTCGGCAAGTGCAGGAATCAAATCATGCGTAAACTCAATGAAACTAACATAAAATCGAGAGCCTCAAGGGAAAATGTTCGGGGTAGAAGTGACATCCCGCCAGGTTTATTACAAAGTCGCGAGAAAATTTATGCGAAAGCGATTAAAGGCCCATTAAACGCTATTTCTGATGGACAGTCGTGGGAGTGGAGTGGCTCGTCCGCCCTTTGCCCATCACCGACAGGACTCCAAGGACCTGTGTCTGCGGCTCTTCAGTAAATAATAAAACAGAGTCGCGCCTAAAAGCATTTGGTGACTGCGCGTGTGTGTGTGTTGGCTGTGCTTAAAGAATTTTGGCCCTAATGCTTACGGCCCGTTTTATGCCGCTAATGCGCCATTTTCCATTGGACATAAAAATCGTAACGCCGCCGTTAAGGCAGAGCTCGACCCATAAAACTCACAGCGTGACAAACGAAAATCAAAACAAAGGCCAGAATTAAATAATCTAGGAGCCCCCGTGCCTCTGTCATATTATGGATATTATATAGATGGCAGGCTCTTGCCGATTTTGATCGATTTATGGCCACAAAAGACATAAGATTAACAAGGCATCTGTTAGAGGGAAAATTAAAGCATTTAAAATGTTTTAAAAAATTGTTATAAATTAAAGTTTTTAAGGTTCTTAAGTTCTAGATGATTTTTACAATTAAATATAACTCAATTATATTAAATTTACTTATCTAAAGTTGAATTAAATTTAATATTAAACGATAGATAATGTTTAAAAAGTCTTCACCCATGAGTATGATAAGTTAGTAATTGCAATAATCTTTAATTGATCGCATAACTGACATTTTCAGTCAAGCCACTGTATCTGTGTGTCATTGATAGCCCTACAATTATACCCTATAGCTATAAATAGTATATATAAACAATTGAAACAAGTTTTATTCTACGTTTTGTTTGTTCCAGAGAGCTTGAGCTATTAAAAAAGCTCGCACTAAAAATCTAAAATCGTCATGCTTTGAGGCAAGTTTTTTAGTTGTCAACGAGCGCCGATCAAGTAAGGTCGAGTTAGTGATAATATTGAAATTTCGTCAGGTTATCAGTGGGTGTTTCCCTAATAGTCATTCTCTAGTTGCTAAAAAATAATTTGCAATAGAAACAAACCGATTTCTGTGGAATTTTTAAATTGTGTCTCCCCTTAAATAAATACTTACTTGTCCTGTAAGTATTCCTAAAACTATTAACGACTTAAGTAGTTCCCTGGACAGAAAGATTTACCTTATAAAACTATATTAAACATTATTAAATCCAAAGCCTTATCAGCTATGGGAGTCCCTCAACTATTTAAAAATGTAGTAACTGAAATGTTTGTTTTTGATATGAATCATTAAACACAGGTAATCGCTACCTCAATTTTTGCGCCAAGATAAGAACCGAATAGTTTGGTATAAAAGTCAGCATTTGTCCACCAAAAATATCAGTGTTCGGTGTGAATTTACCCCGAGAAGTTTCAAGCGTTCAATTCGCAATGCTGCTAACAATCGCCCTGCTGGGCGTGGTTCTGGCCTTAGTCTATACTTTCTACTACAACATCTACACCTATTGGGCACGGAAGGGTGTGCCGTACGAACCTCCACTTCCGGTGATCGGAAACATGAAGGGAATCGGTTCCAAGTTCCATTTCCGGGACATCAACCAGAGAATCTACGATCAGTTCAAGGGAAAGGCTCCATTTGCTGGAATGTTCATGTTCTTGAAACGCGTTGCCATGATCATCGACCTGGATCTCATCAAGCAAGTGCTGATCAAGGACTTCAACTACTTCCAGGATCGGGGTGCTTTCAATAACCCACGAGACGATCCCTTGACGGGACATCTCTTCGCCCTGGAAGGTGAGGAGTGGAAATCAATGCGGCATAAGTTGTCGCCAGTGTTTACCTCAGGCAAGATCAAGCACATGTCCGGTGTGATCGTGGAGGTTAGCCACCACCTGGTCGATACCATGGATAAGACGGTGAAAGCTGCCTCAGTGGACGATGGGGATGTGGAGATCAAGGAACTGTGTGCTCGCTTCACAACGGATGTGATTGGATCCTGCGCCTTTGGCCTAGAGTGCAACAGTCTCAAGGATCCGAATGCCGAATTCCGCGCAATGGGACGTGCCATCTTTGAAAGACGTCGTCATCCTCAATTAATTCAAGTTTTTCTTTTCACCAATGCCAAGTTGGCCAGAACTCTGCGGATGAAGGTGATGCCCGATGATCTCACAGAGTTCTTCATGTCCACTGTGAGAAATACCGTCGATTACAGGCAGAAGAATAACATAAAGCGAAACGATTTCATCGACCAATTGATCCAACTGAAGGCCGAGAACGAGGAGGCGGCTAAGAAGGGCAAGGGAATCGACCTTTCACATGGATTGACCTTGGAGCAAATGGCTGCCCAGGCCTTTGTGTTCTTTGTAGCTGGATTCGAGACCTCCTCGAGTACGATGTCCTTCTGTCTGTATGAGCTAGCCCTGCAGCAGGATATCCAAGATCGAGTTAGGGAAGAAATTAAAAGCGTTCTCAGCAAGACCGAGGGAGGAAAGATCACTTATGACTCCGTAGCCGAAATGACATATCTGGAACAGGTTTTGGCTGGTAAGTGAGATATTATATCTTAGCCAAGGGGAAATCTCTAACAGAATATATTCCTTAGAAACCCTTCGCAAGCACCCCATTGTTCCTCATCTTATAAGGGAGACCGACAGGAACTACAAGGTTCCCAACATGGATGTGGTCATTGAGACGGGCACTCAACTGCTGATTCCCGTTCACAATATTCACCATGATCCTGAGATATATCCAGAGCCAGAGAAGTTCGATCCGAGTCGTTTTGAGCCTGAGGAAGCGAAGGCCCGCCACCCGATGGCCTATCTGCCCTTCGGGGATGGTCCTCGTAACTGTATTGGCTTGAGGTTTGGAAAGATCCAATCGAAGATTGGTCTGGCCGCTCTGCTTCATAACTTCAAGTTTAGTGTTTCAAAGCGGACTGAAGTTCCCCTGATTTTGAGTAACAAATCTTTTACCCTTTCCACCCAAAATGGCATTCACTTGAAAGTGGAAAGAGTTTAAGGTTTTGTATGATGTGTTAAATATTTAATTTATAAATTAATTAAAAAGTGTTGTGAAACTTATTCAAATGTAAAATAATTTTTCTGACTTGTTTTTAATTGGGAAATAGATAGAAACATTTTTAATATTTTCACGGAAATATTAATTGTGGGAATAGTTGTAGGAATTTTTTAAATTTAATAAGAAGTTACATCGAAAAAATGTTAAAAAATTAAAACAAATTGTTATTTTTTAATTTTTAATTTAAATATGCAAATTTATTAACATAATAAAACAAGGGACAGCTTTTCGAATTAAAATTAATGTCTGTTTGGCTAAGTTTTTTAAACTTTGATTTGTCGACAAAATTTTAAAAATATTTGTAAATATCTAATATTTGAATCTTAGTTTTGTTCTATTTCAGCTTTGACCTTGTTATTGAATCGCTAAACTAGTTTTTCATGAGGAACTATTTATCTTTATAAATTTTTAAGGTTTTCTTCCTTAAGACACACAAGTCGTACACTTAATTTAAGGGTTTCACATTAAGTATACGCAATGTATGCAAGATTTATCTTAAATCGAAGTTTTTTTGTATGCCATTATATTGCAGGGTATTATAATTCTATTCAGAAGCTTGGAACGCAGTGAAGGAGTCGTTTCCGACCCTATAAATCATTCTTGATCAGCATAAACAGACGAATAAATAAATATAAATATTGTTTTCATATATCTAAGAATACAGATATATTTAATTGAAGTTTAATAAATGAATAAAATATAAGTGCGTCAAACGAGAATGTTAAATAAATATTGTTATACAGACTTAATGATCGTTTTCGTTAACAAACTACGGCTGACGTGTCCCTAACTCTGTAGCTTTGTAACTCTGCAACTCTGTAAGTCTGTAACTCTGTAACTCTGAAGATCTGTAAATCTGTAACTCTCCAACTGTTACTCTGTAACTCTGTAATTCTGTAACTCTGTAACTCTGTAACTCTGTAATTCTGTAACTCTGTAACTCTGTAACTCTGTAACTCTGTAACTCTGTAACTCTCCAACTCTTCAACTCTTAAATTCCTGCACACCCGAACTCTCTGCCTCCCTCATCCCTCTTGCTCACGCTGTTAAACTGTAGGGACGCCTCTTGCTCTCCATCTCTCTCTGCCTCCCTCTAGAAACATATTTCTTACTCTCTCGCTCTCACTGTCTCTGTGCTCTTCACTCGCAAACTATAAATACAGGGACTGACGGCGGGCTGATCTCAGTCTGTTCGCGGGGGCCCGCTGTTTACATCTATGGTGATAGTGATATTGTTAGTGATAGTGATTACCTTCGGCCCCAAAATTATCACCTGATGAGTGCAATGCATCTGGATAACCAAGGAAGAATCTAATTAAAGTCATTCAGAATTCAGCTCTACCCAGGAAGCAATGAAGCAATGACAAAACACGAAAACAATGTGTCCTCTTCAGAGGTAAGTATTAACCAATTATATTATTATTTTAATTTGAAGTGATACAGCAACTTGAATTAGGGATATTTACAAATGTATACCCAAAGTAAACAGCCTATCTTAATTTTAAATTATAAATCATATTAATTGTTTAACCTTGCGATAGACTGAAAACTGATCATGACTTTAGCTTCAACTTTTGACTGCAAGGGTATAAATAGGCTTTTTGAAGTTCGTTTTCTTTTTTGTACTTTTTAAAAATTTCCTTGGTCTTGACTTGTTTTGCATTTTAGACTCTTGAAGTCATGCCTCCTCACCAGTTATGTTTGGGTCTAAATGGACTCGTTTTTCGGGTATATTTAATCGATAAAGATTTGATGAGTGCAGCGCAATTGAAATTACAGATAATGGTTAATAAGGCAACACCCTTGAGTATGAGTAACCTATATTTATGGGCCATACTTAAATAATTAAAACTACTAATAAAGTCTACGTTTACTAATTACTTACTTATAATGATGATCTCGATTTAATTGTACCCTGTTATAAGCCAAGTCGTAAACTTTATTAATACGAACTTATATAAATGTATTCATTAGGTTTTGTTTGTTTTGCTGAGAGATTTAGATAGGTTGAGTGATTAGAAAACTGTCCAAAAGTCACAAATCGTTATGTTTGGAGGAGTTTTTATTGCCACTGATTAAGTGAGTTCGAGTATTCCATAGTATTTACTCAGAAAGTGTCTAGTTAGCCAGTAACTAAGTACCTTTTTTTATTAGCGCCTTTTAGAAGACAGAAATATATTGATGTGTGATTAGAATTGTGAGCGGGTTCCCTCTTAGATTAGGGAATTGATTCGTTGAAGTAGTATTTATAGATAAACAAATTTTTGCTTGACGCCATGAATTGTAATATTATGAACATTTGGAAGTAAAATCAATATTGCTTTCTTAACGTAATTGTAGCATTAAATTGAGATACAATTATTACAGAAGTTAAACTTAAGGTCATAAATAGTCAGTGCTGCAGTAATAATGGAAACATTAAAAGCATTTCAAAGCATCAGATTAGATTGTTATCTATTATTTAATTGTTTACAAATTAATAATAATATACAAAAGAAAACTTCTTTAGATAGGCAATATTAATAGCAAAAAGGTAATTAAATATATCATTTAAATAAACCGTAACTGATAAAAAAACTCACAAATTTCAGTTGTTGAATATTATTCCCATTGTTTACAAAGCCCCTAGGGACAATTATGGACTTGGCTGCCCACGAAAATAAGTTTAAAGAATGTTTACTGATGGTTTCTAAGCCATTCAAATACGTTATCTTTAACCAAATTAATAAATAGTAAACTAATTCCGATAAACGATACTGGGCGTGGTTTAGGTGTGTGTACGCTTACTTTCCAGTCAAAGAGGCAAAAAGTAAAACAAAGTATTCCCACACTAATCTGAAGCCAAAAGCCTTCGAAAATTTTTCCGTGACTCGCCAACTAATTTCCCCGCATTTTCCGGGGCGTTAGTTACCAGCTGCTAACCGAGGACGAATGTTTTGACAGAATTGCATGTGCTGTGCAATATGTCTGGTCCTCATCGTAGGAATTTCCCCAGTCAGGCACAACTTTTTTGTGTTTTTCACTCTTTGATAGTGCAGTCACGCCACCGAATCCTCGAGGCGCCGAAACGGAAACCGAGCAAGACAAAAACTTGAAGCTGCAAAACAAATGGAATAATTAGACCGAATAAGATGAACTTGCCGACGGCAGCAGGGAAAAACTTACCGCACAGGTGCAAACGAAGGATTCGCATTCCTCCAGAGATTACCCAGCATTTGTATCTGTTTCCAGTTTCCAGTTCAGTTTAGTTTTTTTTGTTCTAGCTTTAAGCTATGGAATACTTTTTCAAACCTTCAAAATGCATACCGAATGAGAAGAAAACCAACAGGAGAAACTAAAATGGGAAAATTAATAGTTGCGAGAAACGACTATAAGATACTTGGTACGAGTTAAGATACTTCGACTTTAAAATATAGCAATTCAATCATTAAAGTTAGATATTAATTTTAATTATTTGTAAAAAGAATTATTTGGTGCTACAATGAACATTAAATATATTAAATCTTTAATCTTCTTAAAGCTAACACATTAATCTCAGCAAAACTCCTTGTATTTCCTTGTAGAATTTTATGATTCTTGAATTTAAAACTATAAACACCTCCTCTCTTGTCTAGCCAAAACCCCACTTGTTTCTGGTTAGTTGAAACTAGAAACTGTTTCACTAAAAAAGTGTAAAATAAGACCAAGACCACGGAGCTGCCATCATTCTGTATCGGCTGATTGGATCCGTGTGGGTGTATCTTGGGGGCAGGAGTATCTTTGTATCTCTGTGTATATATTGGACACTGGCTGGAACACAGACTGACTGGCTGGCCATTGATTTTCGCTCAATTGGCGGCGTTGTCTATTCGGAAAACAGCTGCCATGATGAGGCGGAAAAAAAACTGGCACAATATCGAATGAAGCGCGTGTCTCGTTCCACATCTTGCACTTCTTCGGTTATTTTTCTTCGTTTCTCGTTTTTTCTTGCTGGCCATAATTCATTTAGGCCAAATTCCTTTTTGGGCCCCATTGGCTGACGCATAGACAATTTGAGCTGATGGCCCCAAGGAGCGGCCAGTGTTCTTCTTATTATTATGTTATTTACATTTATTATTGATTGATAACAAATTGCTAAGGATTGACTAACGAGCGGACATTGTGGTTGCCAAAAGGTCAAAGTGTCGGCATCCAGCTTCACACCTTACCCAGCACCGGAAAAGCCCCGTTTGGCCATTTCACGTAATTATGTGAACATTTTCCATGAAGGTGAAGACGCAACCTAAGGTAAATATTTATGGAGTCCATCAACTGGGTCACGTTGGATTTTTCGGAATTTGGCATTTTCATAAGGGGAAATTTCTATACCAAAATAATAATAGTTTAAGCTAGTTGTGCGAATCACTTTAGTTTTGTTATTAAATCTTAGAAAATTGCTGCTTTAAATTTAGATAGGAATGTAGAGTAGATTTTATAAAATTTCAAACATATAATGCTTGGCATTTAATATTTGATTTAAAATTTACGTAGAGTATTCATGTTTCTTTGTATATTTCGAGTTTCCCACGCACTTCCTGACTGACCCTGAGATTTATGAGCTGCGTACAGATATAAATCATGCTTAGGTAACATTCATTATGCTTAGGTGCCGCCGGTTAGCGGCCTCTAAGGATGCCCAGGATAGCAATACCGTAGCATACTTTTCCGGGCAGCAGCAGTAGCTGAGGTGCGCTGAACTTTCTGGGGCGTTTTGTAAGCGCTTTGCGTAATAAATGGCTCTGGACCAAAAGCCATACAAATTGCTAATTACTTGAGCTGAAAGGTGCCAGAGTCACTTGAGTGGGTTTCCTTCTTGTTATATATTTTTTTTGGTCAGTTGTGGTTGGATCTCCTTTGAGCGGCGGTGACAAGGCAGTTTACAATTTCATTGGGCGCTTTATTTATGTTTTTCCTTCTTTTTTTTTGCACTCCCAAGATGGTTGTATAAATTATATGCGGGGGGAAGGAAAAAATATTAGCTATC